TTATTGAAATTTAAAATGGGTTTAGGAATTTTGAAGTAGACATCCTTACATATTGTTTGTATCATTTGTTCTCACAAAATTCAAGTTTATTTAATGTAGCACAGTGATCATTGATCATGACTTGAATTAGCATTGCTGTTTAGAAAATATCTGATTTTCTTTTCTAGGAGTTTGGATAGTCAAACAAATAATTGAAAAGGAATGATAACTTTAGAGATTAGACAGAAGATGCAGGTACAATTGAACAGTATATGCATATGTATCACTTGTAAAAGGTGGTGAACTTTTTTTTATTATTGAGAAGTCACAAAGATTTCTTGTGTGCTAACATTTTGCAGACTCATCACTTTTACTAGATTTGGTTTCAGTCTTGCCTTCATTCATGTAATGAAATGAAATAGAGTGACACATAATGGATCTCCCAAATATTCAAGATAAGACATGTGGTTGTTACAAAATAATAAAAATATGCACACAATGCATAAATGTATTCAGTGACACATTCACTCTATTCAGATGGCTGCTTTCATATTCCTTAGATTAGTAGTTGATTCCCTTCTTTGCAAGCATACATTTATTCAGTGTCATTTTCACTGTCCATATTCACATGGCTGCGTTCATATTCCGTAGATCACGTGCTGCGATTCCCCATCGTCATTGTGTATGTCCAGTGTGTGAACTGATTACATGTGGAAGACCACAGGCAAGTTTGGTTATGATAACCCAGAGATATGAAATCTCATTTGTGGTTGAAACTTTCTGTCAGTGAAACCAACTTGTCAATTTACTGTAAGGGCTCCCCTGAGATTGTGAGGTCTTTGTTGTCTTTTTTCCCCTCTGCTTCTTGCTCCTTTGAAGCTCTTGGTCTTGTCAAGTATGAAAGGAAGGCATTCAGCCATTCATGAATATTTCATGAGGAGACCTTGTCTGTGTAAATACTGTCCTACTAGACAAGGTTGTTAATCAACTACCCTCAATAGAAGGCATGTTCATGTAATTGGGGCAGTTTGCAATTTGCATAAACCTTTATTTTATTTTGTTTGTTTTCAGGCCTGTTTGTTTTTGTGTTAGTTTCTATTAGTATTAAGCGTGGAAGTAGTTTGAGTTTAGTTGTGATGACAATTTCACAGGATTAAAATGACAGTGAGGGCATAGGGCATAGGCTGACTATTACGATTGACAAATGAATGAATCTGCATTATAAATAAATCTTTTCCCAGCTCAGAGATTGATTGCCACATTTTCCACACACCTCTGTTCTCTGCCATTCTAGTGCACTCTTGTAGTGTTCTTAAAAGAATGAATAGGATATTGCAAAACAAGTTTGATGCCCCCAAAATAGCTTGAAATTTAAGAAAACAAAAGAAGAAAAAAAGAGAACGCTAAAAGGATCTTGAGTACCGGTATGCAGGCCTGCAATTAAAAATATGTGATGTTGATCTAGTTACTGGCACTTTGAGAAAATTCTTCTTAATAGAATATGAAATAATCGATGATTCCTATCATAGTGAGGGACCCTGTTTTATTTCTGGTAATGTAGGCTATAAAGGAAGTTTTAGGAACATAAAATAATGCAAGACTAGGAAGACATGAAGTAAACAACAAGATCAAGAATAAAATGAAGATTATCAAGGTGTGGGTAAGAACGAGACGTGAAGTCATTAACAATGTAATTCATTGTTATGAGATGATGACTATTAATTATAAAAGAAAATCTACATGTATGCTACAATATCTTAGGGCTGCAAATGTGCAGCATATTGTGTGAGTCAAGGGGACATGAATCTTTGATAGGATGCAATGTTTTGAGTGACAAGACATGAAGGCCACAGCTGGCTGGCATGGCCAATGTCCTACCCTTCATCTGATGTATCGGGACGCTCGCTCGCTAGTAGGACCTTCACCTCGTCTTTCTCACCATCCATAATTTGGAGGATGAGAAAGGAAGAAATCACCTCTAATTTAGTCCCAGGCATCCCAATCTAGTCCTTGGTCTTGATGGATTGGGGCAATGATATAGCCTCATTTATCATGCAAGTACATGTAGACCTGTAATCTGACAGATGGGGAAGGAATTACAAGTACTGGTATGTGGAAGTTTATGGTGACTGATAATCAATGATTGTATTCATGCAATGCGTGATGATAACATCATTGGTGGGATATGCTAATTCTTCTTTGTTATCAACTGTTTGTAGGCAAAATGTGTAAATGCCCTTCCAGCTCCAAATGGACAGATAATTTGTATTTTTTAATAACATCAACAACAAAAATAGCTGAAATAAATTTTAGTTGAAACATTAGTATTTTTTCTGGTATTAAGAGCTCATTATTATGATGTAAATGTTAATATAGCGAGGAAACCCATGGATTTTCAAACTGAAACAATAACTCAATCAATCAGACGCGATTGAAGATGATACAAAGCCACTGTTGCCTAGCAACTCGAGCTCAGTGTGTCTCTATTTCTTTTAATATGAAGCCTAGAAAACTCTTCCCTCTTCCTTTATCTTCTTTTGTAACTCAGCTTTGAACACCTGCTTTCTCCCATCGCTCTCCTCGTCATCCTGTCCATAGATTAGGCATTCTACAATGTACATGTGCATTCTACAGCGTTCATGTACATGTATGGACTGTGGTATGCATCTGAAGCTATGCCTGGTACTGTTAGATATAAAGCGTAGATTATAATATAATGGAATTGAAAATGTGCAAACATGTTATGAATCATCTCATGTCAACAACATATTTTTAACAATCTTTGATGATCTTCAATCTGATTTTCATATTGCAATTTTTGGGTGTAGGCCTATAGTGTACATGTAGCAGAAGAGTTAATGTCATGTACATGTACATGTAATAGCATAACTCTGTATTGCATTCTTGTAATTTATCTCAAACCATACTTATGGTGCTTGTAAGCTGAGTGACATTTTCAGAGTTCTAGTACTGTTGCATGATTCATATTTTGACTTGTAATGTATCTTCGTTCTACATTATATTTCTCACTTCATGGAGTATGGACAGATAGCATGCACATGTACACACAATTTTTGGGGTGAAAATTCTAGGAAAAATGATGCTTGTAGGCATACATAGAAAACAAGCTAGGTGGTCAACACAAAATGATCTAGTTCTATTATTGAAGTAATTTGTTTTGGATCAAACATCTTGGGTGCATTATTTATCTGCATTGTTCCAGTGATACCAAAGTGTGTGATTGCTTGAAAACCAATCAACTCAATCAGATGGCATACTGGGCGCCTTGGCAAACCCGTAATTGGAATCAATTTACTACGAAAGGTTGACCTATCATGTGGTAATCTACACACAAATAGTAATACTGGTAGCCTTTAGTTCAGGTCCTCAACAATATCATTTGTCATGACAGAAAATCAATATAATGACAAAAGCCTGGTGAAACTGCACAATGAGACCTGAATAGCGTAAAGCGGGAACGGGGATGATGAACTGAAAATTTGAAGGCCCAAAACGCCAGCTTGATGATCTGAATTCTAAATCTTGAAAATATATATTGTTTGCTTTAGTTTCATACATACCGGTATATTGTATAGGTCTGCATAAATTTACTTTGTATAGGATGTTTGTACATGTATAATCAAGGTTCAAGGTTGACCTCCACATGTACTAATATGTAGAAGATTGATGCTGGTACATTATGAATACCGATGTACATGAACATACACGTACTTGTCCATCTCACTTCCACTGACATGTATGAGGGAAAGATGAGCTTTTTTCTTCACAATAAAGGTTCTAATTAATACATGGAAAAGACCATGAAATATAACTGTCATGCAAAACATGTTAATGAATGTCTACAGCTTTGAAAAAAGACAATGGTTTGTTTGTCATCACAAAGATCAATATCTAAGGCACATAATGTAGGTCATTGTCTGTGCTGTTTGGATACACATATTTATGAATTTACTTTAAATCACATGTAGTTGTACATGTAAAATTAAAAAAACACCCAGAATCAACAATGTAGACATTGTTTACATGTACATGTACATACATGTCCATATAAACATGTACATTTACTTACTGTAGTTAATTATACATGTACACCTGTAGTACACATTTTTTATATACACCCTGTACATGTAAATCTTTGAAATATTATAGTACACATTACATTTGCTGCACACTTACCTGTACTCAACCAATGCAAGAATACATAAACTTCAGGCCAATATTCGGTCAGAGACCTGAAAGTGAACCTGTTTCTCAGATTTTGGTGTGTTTGTGATGGCTTAGCTTGAAGTACATCTATTACAGGTTCAAGGAACCTGTTGAAGACCATACATGTATCATGAAAGTTTGTCTATCAGTTAGCATTAACATGTGCATATGGTTATAAGATTTGTGTCTTCTCGGAAGAACGCTAGTGGATTTCCGAGTTACATCTGTAGACTGTAGAGTATTGTTTAATCATTAAATCCCTTTGTTTAAAAAAAAAAATTAAAGATAGCCTTTTCAGTGACAAGTATAGCTCCTTTATGAGAACTTGTCTTTAAAGTCTGTAAAAAATTTAATTACAAACGTATCTGAAATTTCAAAAAATAAGTTATTATTATAATTTCCATTGACATGTACAGTAATAATGTATTTTTTTCTTTCTTATAAATGTTAATATTTGCAAGCATTGATTTCATTGAAGGATTTCATCCATTTTGTGGTTCCCCCAGGACACTAATCTTTCAACAGTTTGTTAACTTCTGTTTAAGGTCTTGATAGGATTAACCATGCATTGTACATGTAACTCCATCCAACTCAATAATTACTGCATAATCTGCCACAATATTGTGTTGCTGAACGTTGGGATTAAAGTGGTGTGTATCGTGACAAATCTGGTTTAGGACTGTGCAGTGAGCTAAAACTTCTTAAGGTTTATTTTTCCTTTCAAAGCAGATTATCATGCTGAACTTTGACAGCAGTTGGTAAACTTGGAAATTAACAAAAAAAGTCCTTTATTTTCTGAGGCTGGAAAACGTGAGGTTGAGAGGGGACAGAGTAGAGGGGAAACAACTTAAAATAATATCTTGTGGCATGAGAACTGGAGGGCTACAATACGAGTAGAAGTCCTCTGTTAGTCCTTAAACTGGCTAAATGACACTTTAATGAATATTATTATAGTCTCCCAGCTTATAACTCTGTTGTCTGGCTTATATTACTTGAAATGAAAATGAATGGCTAGAGAAAAGATTATTACTGTCTCCAAAGAAAACAGTTGATATCGAGTGTAGCAGTCTCTGTCGTAATGAAGCATTATGAAATTGGCAAAAGAGTGCAATAGCCTCATGAACCTCATCCATGTGCAGTGTTATACATGTACATGTAGTATGATATTGATGGCTATTTTGTAATGACATGAGATTATAAAGTATATTCTAAATTTCTGTATTACCATAGTTCAAATAGGAAAATTACATGTTTCCATTCATAATGAACATGTAATACTTTTTAAGGAGTCAACAAAAACAAAGCTGTATGTCTTGAAATTTACCATACAATAAGAACTACAAAATATATTTATCTACATGGGTGTATCTCAGCAAAATATGTCTTTCCAGACCTGGAGAGTAGATGAGTACATATGGAATATATTTAGTACTTTCCATTGTTCATGTTTTTCCCCAAAATAGAATTTGACAAAGTTGACCAAAGCTGTCTTCTTGCTCTAAATAGGTTGTCATAGAACTTGAAGTAGTACCATTGACAAGAGAAAGAATAGTGACGTACATCAAATTATATCTTTAATTCAGTCGTCATTGAATTGGAAGGCAAACATCCAAGTTTGTTCTTATGACAGAGTGCAAGGATAAGGCTATGAAATCAACACTGTCCATGTAAGATCAGATGTCACATATGATACCAAGTCTATCACTAATCCCTTTCATTTCCTGACTCCTCTCTCTCCACCCAGCATGATTTTGGCACAAGAGGGCAAAACATTGTTTTAACACATTTTGTGTTTGTTATTGTTTTTGATATATTTGTTTGTTTGTAAACTAGCCCCTCCCATTTATTATCCACCACAAAGGCTAACACGATGAGGCTTCATGTTTTTGGGGGCCCCCTTCTCTAATCCCGGCTCTTATTACTAATCAGGACAATTGCAGAGTCCCAGTCGTGCATCAGGCAGGCCTTTTCCCCCTTTGTAACCAAGTGTGACAGTCCTAATTTGTCGCAAGTACTTTTGCTGTGTCTCAAACACACGTGCTGTTTACCGGTTCATCTCTCTCAGACAGTTTGATCCATGTTAAGCAAATGAATGCAGTGCAACAACCGACCATCGACTTTCAACATTGGATAAATAGGATTTCATGTGCATCCAGGACCTGAAGTTTGACTTTCCTCATGTCTTGTTACTATAACAGCTGATTTGCTTGGATGCAATCCATTTACATACGTAGTGTTGCTAAGGTTTTTTTTAGTTTACAGGAGTTGAAAAACACTTCTACAGAGTGAGAGGAATCAATTAATTTGAGTGAATCGGGTGCCAAATTGTCTATGTATATTCATGGACAGGTTGAGTGGAACAAGTACAGCCCAGTGCATAGCCGAGGAAGATAAAGGATGTTTTCTCCAAAAGGAACACTTCATTTATGGTTGCGTGACTTGCAAGTGTGTAGAACAAATACAGCTGGATATTATGTGTTTATTATTTGTAGAGTTTCTATGTCATAGACAGATGGAGGATCTCCTGCCTTTGCCAAAGCTCACCTACTTGGACTATGTGGATTAAGTTTTTTCATATTCTCTCTGATTTTGGTTAATAATTGGAGTTGTAAAGGATTCTGGATATGGGGCAGTGCTCAACAAGAAGGTATTGAAGCAAGTGAAAAAATAAATGATCATGCTAATGTTTTCCTTTTGCCGGTGAAAATGATAATTAAATATCTTTATTATTAAATAGTTGGAATTGAATATATTCCAATTCCTTATACAGTAGTTAATTTGTCATTGAGACTAGTTGAAGTTTAGGAAATATAGTAGAAGTATAGTCCTACATGCATTTCTTTTATTTGGTGATGAAAAGTAATCATACCTACAACTGTACATGTACAGGTATGTACTTTTTATATTCATATTTAGCATAGAATTTTAGAGAATAGAATATTTTCCTTTCCCTTAACCAATTTACAAATGTACTTTAAAAATAAACTTGGCCACTTTCACATCAAGATCCAAGCATACATGTGCGTGTGTGCCATATATAGGTCTTTACCTATCGATCATTTCCTTTCACGTGCACATGTGCACAGTCATAGATGCAGGGTTAAACAGGATTGACTTTAATTTGTGGAACATAATTGAATTAATTCTAAGATTCTACAGAGAGGACTTCATTGTATAAATGTACACTGTACTGTACATGTATGATCTTCAGAACTAGGTATTCAGAACTCTCTTATGGTACATACAAGTTTATGTTTCCCTTGTTTTTCTGGATGGAACATTTTTTTTTTTTTCCCCAGGAATGTTTGCTAAATTTAATATCCTGTTGGGAGTCCTATTTTAAGCTCATGGATCAGTTGTAACAGACTCTCTAGTTTGTACTCGTTTAGCCTACAAGTGCAATTTCATACCAGATTACCTAATGCCTAATTATCTAGGCAAGAGTCTACATTACATACATGTATTTGTATCTCATTTTTTGCCATCATTTACAGTATAAGAGTTACAGTATATGCATGGTCTATGTACATGTACATTTCTTGATGTATATTTCATCAGTTGAATACATCTCGTCTAAGTGATGGCATTCTCAAGTGCATTCCACACATGTTTTATTTTCATGTTTATGGCATTAAAGTTGGACTGGTGTTGGGGGCAAATTCTTCTACTAAAAGTCAACTTTGACACCCATCTTATGACATGCAGACTTATCATGCAATGATAGACAGAGTATGTACAGTATTTCATTGAACTTAAATATTGTTTGTGTTACGCTTGATACCCACAAGCATACTGGAGTTGAAATCAAACTATTTCAAATCTTTTGACAAATGCATATTTGTTGCAATACAATGAGAATAGCAAACTATTCATCTAGGTCATTGACGAAGATGTTCTTAATAGATAATGTTGGATAAAAGCAGAAATACATGTACATGTATAACTTAAGTTTAACTTAACATGTGAATCGTGAAAATTTAAATATTTATTAATTGTCTTGCAAGTTACACTGGACAATGTTTCTTGCAAATTTACTTTTACACCAAACAAAAGAGAACTAAACTAAACTGGACATTTAGCTACAGAATTAAAGTATTAAGAAGTACCAATTAGTATGGACAGTATTAAGAGGTATTAAGAAGTACAGAATCATGTTTCTTTTTAAGACCAAGTTAAGCCTGACAAAAATTTGTGTATTATTCTCTACAAAAGTTCTTCTAAAAGTCCACGCTTTTAAAGATATATGAAAAAAACAAGAGATGCACTGCATTTACATGTATATCAAATTGAGAGAAGAAAACTAGGAAATAATTCATTGCTTTAGGCTCGACTTTCTCCCCCTCTAAACAAAATACAAGGTAAGTAGGTCTACTATGCAATCGACCTTTCAACACTTTTCTATTTGACAGTTGATGGTTGTCCTTGGCCTGAGAGAGTTCATGAGAGAGAGAGAGAGAGAGAGAGAGAGAGAGAGAGAGAGAGAGGAGTGAATTTAGAGTTTTCTATCTCCACTCCTTTGCTTATTTCGTCATATTCTCACGCACGGTAGAGGCCTTGATTTTCCCTACCTATAATTACATCTGCCTGTAGTACATGTACAGTATGTAGAGTTGTAGACCATTACCACTACAAGGAAGTTTCACAGAGGCCTCTAAAGTTTGATGTTTTGTACAAGCTTCTGTAAATCAATATTTTTGAGATTCATTTATGGAATTACACTACATGTATTTAACAAGCACATGTGAATTCCTCCATTTCCGTGTATGGTATATTCAATGTGATACCATTATCATTCATAGTAACCAGGATTTCAGGACACGACTGGTAAAGTTATTATTCCAATCGGGATATAATCATCACATTTCCTGATTACCGAGAATATACAGAATGTAATATCGGCCCAAATCAACAATACCTGCGATTGTGTTAGGTTTATTTGGGGGGGGGGGGGGGGTTAATACAAGTCTGTTTGCACAGTTTATAACCCTGAGTTTGGCACTTGGTTACTTAATGTGTTATTTGTGTTCAATAAACAGGAACAAAAGCACCTACACACACGAACCTGTATGTATTTTGTGCATCTGATGATACATGCAGGTCATACTAGCAGCCTTTTCACACACAGCTAAAATTCATCGTATCTAGAGATGATTAGTATAAACGTGTTTAACTCAACAGTTTTAAACATGTTTATAGAAATTTTTCCAAGGGTGAACATCGTTTATATAATGTTGGGATAGATACAAAGTCGCGATCCATACGCCCCTAAAAGCAGGCTGCAGATACGAAGTTCGTATCTAGAGAGCTTGACATTTTGTGTGTGAAAGGTTATTCGTGTTTAAACGTGTTTCAGACGTGTTTAAACTGGATGGAGTATGCGCTTTGATTGATATGACATGACCTTCAATGCGCAATGGCACTACTGTGCATTTTACGAGCAGTAGTTAATCACGAAACGATTAACGATTGCACTGAAATTTCTGTGTGTGAATGATGTCGTATGTTCAGGTGATTAGTTTAAACACGTTTATACCAATCATGTTTATAGAATTTTAGCTGTGTGTGAAAAGGCTGTAGATTCAGTTATTTATGAACTCCATGTTGCTCAATAAAACAGGCAGGATGTGAAGTGTATATTATCATTATTGTGTCTATTCTGTCCGTAATTTACACAGTGCAATCATTTCCTGTCCTACTTACTTAACTGTAACAAATAGTGTTTTCGCCACAACAGTATTACAATTTGTTATGAAGACAAGTGACAAATATAAATACAGCTTGGGTGATCTTTGTCCTTGATGTACACTGTAATGCACAGACGACCTGGCGCCCATTAAAACCAACGTCTGTCATTTGATTGTATAGAACAAGTTCGTGAATTCATATCAGTTGGTTAATAGTAGCCCATAGATTTCACCTGGTAGCTACTTGAGTAATGAATCCTCTTTGTGGTAATGGAGCATTCATCATGTTTCAGGAAGTGTCAGGTAGAACTCCAACTAAACAAGAGTTCCTTATTGGCTTAGGCTGCTTGCAAGGTAACGCGCCATCCATATAATAATACGCTAAGGCGTCGAGGGGGGTATCCGGGGTCCATTTTACGGCGCCCAAATCTCCCCTCCCGCCCGCCCCCGGGCGCCGCCGGGCGGTCCTGCGGACGGACGGGGTTTCAATCTACGGAATTGGCCACGTCCCGGCCCGGTGCGACGTCCCGGTCGTCGTCGACGTCGTCGATGCGTCCGCACGTCCCACTTATGCGTCACGAATTTCATGCTTTAGCATGAAACGGAAGTGGACGAGCGGTCTGAGGCGCCGGTTGCGTTCGATTCGCCGGCAGCTCTTGCACTTTTTGCACGCACGGGTTCGATCCCGCCTCCGTCTCAAGTGTTTTTTTTTTTCTTCCCCGTGTTTGTTTTGTATATTTTAGATGTTGTAATCTTTACCATTTTTTTTATTTTAATTAAAATGTAAACCTCATATTTAAAATTTAAACGAGTCGAGTCTTTATTTGATATTTATTAGCTTATTTCATGATATCTAGGCCTAAAATCAGCGCAACAGATGTCTTCCCATATCCACGTCCAAACTTAGAGACCTATTTCCATCATTATTGCCGGGATTTTTATATAGTTTTCGTGAGTGGAGGTATGAAATCAAAGCTTATTTTGTGATTATTCTGGCCATGTTTACTCAGTTTTGATTATCATTTATTAAAGGAAAGTTTTCACAAGAAAATCAGAGAAAAACATCGTTCAGTTTCAAGAGCTCTGCCGTACGCATACAGTGTGTAGTGCAGTGCAGCTGCGCTGGCTGCTCGACTGAGCTGAGTGAGTGAGTGAGCTAGCTATTCAGAGTCGAAGAGACTATGAAGGGCCAAACATGCCAATATTCGACAACTATACGCTATATTATGTATCCATCCATGCGACTATTTATGTCTATCCATTCATTGAAGTAGGCCTACACGTGAACACAACAGCGGGCAGGCCGAAGTGCCATAAGATGGTTGGGGGGGGGGGGGGGCAAAATATTTTTTTTTGCATCTTATACATGTTACAAAAAAAATCTGCATCTTACATGTTACATGCAGACCCCACAAAACATTTTTCAAAGTGTGGGGGGGGGGGGGGTCAGGTAGATCGAAGCGAGTTGAGTGTAGGCGTGGGGTCCACGGGTTGTGGGGGGGGGGGGGGGAGGGGGATCAGGTAGATCGAAGCAAGTTGAGTGTAGGCGTGGGGTCCACGGGTTTCAAGGGGCCATAAACCCCGAAAGCTTGGGGGGTTTAGGCGTTTAATTAGGGTCAGATGAGCATATTTTTAATACTTTATTTGGCGTGGGGTCAATACGTAGAGTTGCGTAGTGTTGCGTACCAACTACGCTGGCCTACGTTACTATATGCTGGGGGACGGAAAGGGGTACGCAAGATGAACGAAAACAATTCAACATGTTTAATTTTTTTCGCGTACTTTCGGCGTAGAAACTTGACGCAGAAAGTACGCCTTTTTACGCAACACTACGCTACATGACTACGCAACAGTACGCTACCTACGCCAGATTGACAAAGCAGTAAAAGCTTTCCACACAGTAAGCAACCATAAGCAAACCTGTACGCCAGCCTACGCATAACCTATGCAGGGACTATTTTCCCATTAATACGCAGCCTAATTTCTGCGTAGTCGGTACGCCACACTACGGAACTCTACGCAGTTCCAGTGGGTTAAAGAATAACTACCGGTATAGTTGGATCGTTTTTGTTTTTTTATATAAGGCCAAATTAAAAAAAAACATGTTTAGCGTCCTGTTTTTTCGAAAAATGGGAAGGAGGCCCTTTTTTTCTTTTTTTTTTCTTTCAAAATGGCCGCTCCGTACATTTTCCCTGACATTCAGCCTATTTTTCAAGATGGCGGCCGACAATTTTTTTTTTTCTTTTTTAAAATCAGAAATACATTTTAGCAGTGCTTTTCATGTTTTTTTTCTTTCAAAAAAAAAAAAAATAAAAAAAAATAAATAAATAAATAAAAAAAAAAAGGAGGAGGCGGCCCCCCAAAAAAAGCGGGCGGGGACGCTAAACATGTATATTTTTTTAATAGCCTGAATGGCAAATAAAGTTCTTGGTGGTTTTAATTTAGACAGTCTCTATATATCTATTTACACCCCCGCCCCCCTCTAGAATCCCGCGGATTTCCGCGGGTCCTGCTAGTTACATAGATGAATGATAATCACTTTGTAGACATAGTTCATCAGTGCTCTAAATTAACGCAATGGAATGCAAAGAGTAGCTGTAGCTCATCACACGTTTGAAACCTTAATTGCATTGCCAGGACTGTGCTGGTGTAGCTATTATTCAATCAGAGAGGAATTATAATCTTTCGTTAGCTCGCGGACCCTAAGTGCAGTGTCTAATGTGAGCACATCATGCATAGCAGCAGCCAAGCTCAAGTCACAAGTTTGTGATTGGGATGAGTCGGGAAAGATAAAGAGTGATTCAGGTGGATGAGTAAAGGTTCTTGATTCCTCGAGGAAGTGGAGAACAAGAGAGAGCACAATGGATGTATACCTGTCATCCAAGTGACCATTTAAAACAGGATGCATGGACATGAATCGGTCTTCCTGTTTAGTCGATAGTGGTGCTTTAGAAAACCTTTCAAGTTTAGTGAGTGCATGTAATGTACATGCAAGGGCATACTGATTTCATATGGCTAATATGAATAACACCAGGTTGGTTGTTTTTCATGGATTTTGTTGCGTTTGATATGGATATTCAAGAGAGATTGTTTTATTTTGTTGAGTACCTTGACATTAAAAAACACTGAACATTAGTAGCTTGTTATTCAGTTGACTTGTGACATGTAATACAAAATAATGACCATGGGAATATAATTTAGTCATTATAAAGCAAGAGATATGACAACATGTCTGCTGCATGGAATTATTCCAATATTGATTACAATCACATAAAGTAAAATACATAATGTTAAGATTGTTTTAATCTGCACTATTATGGGTCAACTAAATGGAGATAAAGAAGGATGTTTCTGTGTCCTTAAATCCATGTGCTGCCCATTATATGACCTCTTCACAATCAGCCTTAGATATTAACCTCTCAGCCTTAATAGCATTGATGGCATTATTGTTCATGCCTATCAATCAATTATTCTATGAGGCCTGCCCCTATTTATCATGTCACAGACTGACTAGAAATTTAAAGACATATCTATGCCTCTATGGACATTCATTTGTACAAAAAGGAGTTTTGTAATTGTTTATTTTTCAAGATATGCATGTGAATATAACTATGAGATTACTTTGCTTTAACAACATACCTGTATTAAAATGAATAGGCATATGGTCTGTTTGAACCTGACGGCTCTGAACAGATGATGATATGCTCCTTTTTTCAATCTTTCTATTTGTATGATCTATTGAATTAAGTCCAACTCATTCTATGTAACTTGTTTGGTATTCTTGATAATGATAATCCAAGGATCAATGTCCTATGAAGTTGATGTATGTTAACCTGATATGAGTACATGTATCTGAGGTCAACAAGAATCTGTAGATTAATATTTCAATCTGTATAATGTTCATAAAGATTCTGGTTTTCCTTTAAACTTTTACTTTCTTGTTATTTCCTCTTCCCTCCCTCTACAGAAGTTCAGATAATTGTGGACTTGGTCACTTGAAAGGAGACATCTTATCAGCTACGTGTCACTATGACGAGGATAGCCAAAGATCTTCAGGGAGCCTAGCCACAAGATACGGCCAGCTAGTAGTACTTGGGTATGTTTCAACTCGTTATTTAATGTCTTGGCATAAGATTACTGGTACTAATAATCATCTGCTCTGCATTAGACAGTAATGATTTATTATGACATGTTCATAAACATACCTTGATTAACTGTTCATGACTAATAGATGCCATAATTGCCATTGCAAATTATATACAGAATTGATGCAATTATGGGATTATGTCAATAATGGGAATGGGAGAGGGTAGAAAAGGAAAATTGGAGGTAAAGAAAGTTGAAACCTGATGTATGTACATCTACATATTGTTGTTGATAGCCAGCATTATGAACACTATGTAAAATGATAAGACTAAATGTTCTGGCTTTCAACAGATGGGTTGATGTTAGGCCTAGTTGATGTAAGGACCAAAAGTATTTTATTCCTTGAAAAATGAAAGATATTCTTAAAGAGTTCAATTGAAAATAAGTAATAGCTATATTGCATTTCCCACATTCATTTCCAAGACCACATGAACCTTATGTTTTCAAGGGACAAATGTGGGGACATTAATTCTACTGCTTTGGGCTACAGCATTCTTATTTACATCCTATACCCTTCAAAATGGCAGCTGGAGTGATAGCGCTTTTCACGCTCTACTCCAGCTTGCTACATCCATTATTCAGAGGGTGTCCGTAAACGCTTTACGGTGCTCGTCAGTGCATCGTCGCAGCTGTAAATTAGTTTTTGCCTGCAAATGGCAACTCGAGGGGTAACGGGAGAACGGCAAATGTCAAAGACACTTAACATGTGTGGATCGGTTTGATTGGTGAGACACCGAGGGATACCATTCTGAATTTTTCCCATTGCTGAATTGTTGAGTGCATGTGCTCAGCATGCTCATGTGTGTGTACCAGTACGGGTATGGGATGTAAATCGTGGGAGCATGTACAGGAATTTTATTTCACACTTTTGTAATGGTTTCCAGGATCTAGATTTATTGTAGTTTGTCTGAGAGTGCTGTGCTTCACATTTACATGTAGATTGAACCATCATTATGATAGCCTACACTATGTTTTTATAGCCATTTTATTCGAAGTACTACAATAATTTTCCAAATGTGTTAGGATAATGAATGTTTATGAATGTCACACACATTATTATTTGAAAGGATTTCAGCAAAATACATTATATCACCAGAGTTTATGTGATTATGATGTGATATCAAATAATTAGGATAAATAGTATTACCAGTAAGCAATACATAGATAGTTTTTTAAAAAGCATTTTATTATGATCACATTGTTTCATAATTAACAGATATATGTAAAACCTACTTACATGTAGGATATCTTTCATGCAATGTCATGAAATTAAAACCACACCCCCTTCTCCACCCCCCCCCCAAAAAAAAAAGGAGAAAGAAGGAGAAAAATAAAAAGGAGCTTTATTCAGTGTTCATCATTTCCGCTCAGAAAATTGCTTGCATCATTTTGATAACAACCTTAATGTGCATCTCTGTGATCATTAATTAAAAGAGGAAAGCTCATATAGATTGATGAATTGTACACTCATGGGTGCTAGTTTTCAGGCAAAAAGGTAAATAAAATGGCTCATTTATGTTTGGTTTCTGTTAAGGCTGATTGGTTAAAACCAATTAGTATCCAATATACAAGTATTAATTATTTGGACCAAAAGTGAAACCTACAAAACAGGAATTGAAACTAGAACAGGAAGTGTTCATGCTATTTAATCTTGAAACCTGTTTTCTCTTCTGACATAAACATAAAAAATAACAAAATTTGTTGCTGTATTTTTTTGACTAAAATGAGGATCTATTGATTTAGATCTTTTAAAGATTTACTAATCTATTTATCATAATCTCATGTCAGATAAAAGTACTTTTCGATTTGTGACAAATACTTGTTGAAGAATAATTTTAAAGTTTGATGAAAAACAAGATGATAGTGATGGCAAGAATGACAAGTCCTTTTAATGACTCATGTACAGTGAACCTACTTCTATGAATTATGGTATCCTGATATGGGGAGAATTCTTATTTAATCTCAATGAAAAATTAGCCATGGTTCTTTTTCCTCCTAATTAAACATATGACATTTCCTTTTTTGCTTTCTCTGCTTTCACTCTTTGACAGCCAAATTTATTAAACATTTATTTCTTTCATGAGCATGTGAACATGGCAATGCTACCCTTACCTTTTTGTGAGGTAGTTTGCCTTATATATTTTCATCACATAAACTCTCAAGTGTTTATACCTACATCTAGGACACCTTGAGGTTGATATACCATGTATATTTCTGGGAAATCCCCAACCTTATGTGCGAATTCTAGAGTATAGCATCATGCTGTGGTAGGTTTAGATGGTGACAGATGCACATGTTTATCATTGGCACTTGGCAGTGGATGTGGTTGAGTAGTGGTCATGCTTCTTAGCATGTTGTATGCATAACCATGGGAACTGTACATGAGTATGGATGCCCAGAGCCATGTACACGTATGCAGTCTCGGGGGCCCAAGGGGTTTATGCCACTGCCCATGCAGGTATTTTAAAGAAAGGCTCCCTAATATAGTTGAAAATAAAATGAAAACTGAAAGAACAGATGTTGTATTTTGCTTTCATGTTTTGAATAGTGAACCTTCCCTTTTGAAGAACATAAGAACATTTTTGTGGCTGTAATACATTTTACAGTGTATGTCCGATGTGCTTTAGATTTCCTTTCATCTACACATATCTTGCTATCTACTTTATGTTGACCTCACTAATATATGCTAGTTTACTACTCCTTTTTAACTCTATTAATGACTGATGCTATAAAAAAAAAATGTTTTTCTCCCAATAGTTGTATAAAATGTCATAAAAGCTAATAATGCTGTGTGTGTAACAAAAAGATCTCTTAGCCATGATTATATGGGATGCCCCTGTACTATTAGAATTAGCAGTTGAATTACAGACGGATTATTTCCTACTTAATGACTGAATTAGTCTTGACAGAGTTAATTAGGACTATGCACTTTTTTCAAGTGGAATTAAATCTGCCATGGTGGGTTTGTTAATACTTTAACGAATTGCAAGTTAAAATTACATGTAGGTATATCATCAACTGACATTATTTGTAGTGAATTGTAATAAATAATAATTTCATCATGTAAACTACATGTATTATGGCCATCAATGTGCAAATATCCTGTATCTGCAGAGAAAAAAACATCCTGAGTGTATATTTACAGAATGGGGTAACTTGTAATTCAAAATACCTTGTTAGTTTTGAGTTTTATTATAAACTAGGAAATATTTGAAATCCCCTAATTTACAATGCCATTTTCAGTTCCTTTTTTATTTGATGATGATAATCAGTATGATTTATGAATATAAATATAATTCAAAGCATCTCTGAATATTACATATATGATTATATCAGAGTGAATTTCTGTAGATGTCATAGGGGAAGACACATTGAATATCATTGTGATTTTTGTGTGTGCATGAGTATCACTTGAAATTTTATTAAGAAGGTCATTGTGACTGAGTTGATTTGTGAATAGTGAATTTTATTCTGAATAAACGCTGGAGGTCATTGTGAATGGGGAATTTCGTTGAGAATAAATACTGAGAAGGTCATTGTGAATAATATTCTAAATAATTATAATTGTAAACTGTCGTCATTTTGATTGACTTGCCAGGTACAATGGAGTTCTTCCAGCAGGGAACAGAGGGAGAAGGCGGAGTACCTTTGGTCTGTTCAAGAGAGATACAGCTAACGGAGTCAAGCCTGACAAACAATATGAAATCAATGCTTCAAAACAAGGAGAGGTAGGTCATACCCCCCCCCTCCCCCCAAAAAGGATATAAAGGGTTTGCAAAAGTATATCTGTATATCTATATCTACATGTATATGTATGTAGAGAATTGTTCATAGAATATTAAAAAAAGATTTAATTAACAAGGTAACAACTTTCTCTAATTATTTGTGAAATAATCTATTTTATATTACCCGTTAACATTAGTTTGTTTGCTGATTAGTATGCATCAAAAACGACAAAGGGAGTATGTCAACCCCCATCCATCCCCCCAAAACAATAGAAAAAGAAGAAAAAGAAGAAGAAGAAAAGATTTTCTATTATATGTTGTTTTTGTATAAAATGGTACGGGAAACATGCATTTCCTAAACAATTTTCAAGAATGATCTGAAGACAATTTTTCATTGAATACATGCAGTAGTTCTTTCTTTTGTACATATGATAATAATGAATTGTACAATCTTTCAAACACTATATGCTGCGGGTCACAATACACATTAATCAATTTTACTATTTATTACCCTGTATTTCCCTCCAAAAATATACATACAAATGAAATATTCTTCTTTTGTACTCTTATTAAAGCTATTTTAACACCATGTTCATACTCTTTGTGATTAGAAGACTGTGATATAATTGCAATTAAGGGTATTGATTTGATGTGATGTGTTTTAATAAGAGAGTAATTAGCTTTATGGTAATTCTGTTTGATTGGGAATACTGATTGATGTTTGATGACTACAGATGTTATTCAAAGTAGAGAGGTGCCATGTGTTACTGGATAACAGTACATGTAGTCTCGCTCCTATTTAAGCAAGCATCAAGAAAAAGGGGGAAATGATAGTATGGTATGAATTTTGGCACATGTACAGGTACTTTCATTCATTCAGTGGATAGACATGTATTATAGGAAACAAGACAAGAATTCAGTGTTTTTTTTGGGGGGGGGGGGGAAGGGGGGAGGGGAGGGGGATGGTGGAGCCTGAGATAATTTGTTATTTTGTTTTCAGATTTAATTTTAAATGCCGTCAAAAGATGAACAAGCTATGAAAAGGTTGATAGGACCATGAACAGAATGAATGAATTATGAATCAGGGGGGGGGGGGGGGGGTGGTGAGTGAGATTTAGTTTTAGGTTGGCGTTGAGGAAAGTCGTGTCTTGATTTACTTTTAATTGCCTTTAATAACTAATCATGAGATGAGAATGAAGTATACATGTATGTTTTTGTTTGTAACATCATTTCCTTGTGTTGGGCATGAAGAGTGGTGTATGTGCCTGTTTTTGAAGTATCATCCTACCTCTACTCAATAATTTTCAGATGAAGAGTATTATAAAGCAAGAGTCACCTGTTATCAAGAAGGTAAAGAAAAACAAGATTCATTGAGCCGTAAATGCAGCAGGACTAACACATACTAACATTATGCATAAAGCAAGCATGATTTGATTAAGCATGTCTTCAATCAAATGATTCTAATCAAAATTGATCGTTTCTGGCAGGATTACAAAAAGATTTAAGCATGATAAAACTCACTAAAATTATACAAGAATGCACTTTCACACTGCTCATAATAAATTATGTCTGTCCTCTGAAAATATGTTGACTTGCCTCATCCTGATCGAATGCAATGTATCCTGATAAGTCGGTATTGGATTGTACTGATTTCTTGGAAACAGTTCAAGTAGGACAAGGCAATGCATGTGGTCATAGTTGTGAAATGGGGAAACTGGTTTTCTTTCTGAGAAATGTGCTCTCACATGTCTGAGTCAGACGAACTGACTCTGAGAAACATTTGTTTTCTTCTCCTTCACAACTTCAATGTGCTGGTACATGTAACGAGGTGTAAATTCTCTTCTACAGAAACAAATTGAACACATGAACAATATGTCATGTCTCAAATTCTCTTCTACACTTTATACAGAAATTGAATGCAACTGAACTTCTAATGTATGTAGCTTTGCAGAACAGCATAAGTTATAGTTAATCTACAATAGATGATGCTCGTTATTGCCATAATTGATCAAATAACCTTCATTTGCCCTAATAAATGCATGAAAGTCTGTTCTAATATTAACTCGTCTTGTCTTGTTGGCCTTTATCATCAGTCACAAACTTGGGATCATTCATAACAGGAGTCCTACATGTTTTCTTCATTTTTCCATGTGGTTACTGTAATATGTGTATACTAACTGTAAATTATAAAGTGTCTACGGTGGATTTGTTTACACTAATTCGTCTACTGAGAGCCAGAAGGTCATTTAATCATGTTTGCTTAGAATTAAAGCCCTATATGGTTCTTCACAGATAAATTAATTTTGACAGTATAAAACATAAAGCCAAATTGTCTAAACCAGCATTGAATGCAGCATACAGTAACTCCATAGTGCATGGTTGAAAGTATCACCCTAGTCAGAACAAAAGTCAAAGCATAAGTCAAAACATGGAAGCTATGACAAGAGTGGAAAGACCTTTGTACATGCTAATTTTACTCTACATTGCCTCCTGTTATTAACTTAAGAGAGGTCCAGCTCCTAAATTTTAATTCATCTTGTCTCTATAGCAAGTTTTTAGGGAAGTCATAGGCCCGAATTCACAAAGCAAAGTTTGAGCTCAGACCAAGGTTTGAGCTCAAACCTCCTTTTGTTTCGCCAAACCTCCTTTTGTTCTTTACAAACCAGGTTTGTAAAAAAACGCGCAAAACGCATCATATGACGTACGAAAACCAAGGTTTGTCGACAAACCTCCTTTGTGAATTCGGGCCATAGGGTTTCCACCAATACTTTTTGAGAAAAAAAATACCTTCAGTAATGCGCTGTGCTTTTCTATAGGTTGTCTGGTTGTCTGGTTCTCCATTGTTCTTTACTTCTTTTCTCTCAAATGTGTAAAGGTAATAAATGGAAAATAATAATAGGCTTTCCTGTACCAGCATGTCATGAATACTTGTTTTCATGCTGATCCAACCTAACTCAATAAGACCTTGTACACTACTGCAGGCTGTACATGTAGCTGCAGAATCAGATTAGATCTGCAACATGGAATGGTTAAAAAAAATGTTGCACGAATGTAACTAAGGCTAAAATTTAATTCATTTTCATGTTACGCTTTGGATTTTTTTAAAACTCTGAACTTGGTCAATAATGGGGGCCTATGCCATTATAATTGCTCATTCACGTGGGACTACAAATACTAATAAATTGAGCAAATCTAACCTACTGAATGCACAGTAATATCTACGTACATGTCATGGGCTTTCCTAGCTTACTTTATTATTTGGTTTTCATGAAGCAACAAATCTTCAGAAGTGTAATGATAACATCAGACTGAACTCACACTTAATTAATCACTGTCACATGTTCAGGTTTATTTATGTATTTAAAGGGATTGGAGACATAGGACTTTGCATGTTATGGTTATATGCACTATGATAAAAACGTGACAATTTCCCTCAAACCTGAGTCGTGAGCAACAGTTTTCTGTCTAGACTTTCTCCATGTAATTACCTGTCTGATGTTAGTTCCTGGAAATAGCTCAAACATTGTAAACAATAAGGCAAACTTTCAACCATCAATTCTCCAAGTCATCCCCTTTTTGTTTCTATGAGTCATACTAATCTTTTGTGTAATAAAACATCCTTTTGTCTGTTCCAAGGTAAAAAAAAATATACAATTCAGTGCAAGGTTACCACAACAAAGCAAGACCTTGGTGGAAATGAACTCCCACCATCCAGGATTGTTTGAATAAAAAATATAAAAATTCAGTATTCATAGGATAATTCCCCCAGTAAGAAAGACAATTATTTAAAGTCAGAATTTTTGATGAATGGGTGATGTAGCCATATAATTATAAAAATAAGGTTATCATGAGTTCTCAATGAAACTGGAGCAAATTGTTTTTTGATGGATAAGGGTGTTTTGTTGTCATTATGAAATATTGCTTGTACATGTAATTATTGAACAGGGTCATTTAGACAAAGGAAATGTTTAACATCACAAGAGAAATCTGTTTTCACTGAAAAGTACAGACATGTACACATACAACTGCATATGTTATTGTAATCTAGACAGACATAATTTCAGTCTTTCTTCACCTATTCTTTAATTCTTTGCTTTTAATATCATTCATCAGCCTTCTCTTGTATTAATTAAAACATGTGCAAATTGTATTTTCTCATCCTTATCAGTTACCATAATTCAAGCATAACTTTATCTGAAGAATCTGAAGAATTTCTAAAGTAGGAATGCTCTCTTCCCAAAATCTCTGTGCATGGCATGTACATGTACATATAAATACAGTGTAAGAAGTGACAAGATTTTTACTTCTCAGGTCATTGACCCCTTCAACTCGGGTTGTGATAGCAGGCACATCCATCAGAATCATTATAGGAGGTAGTGAGAAAGCTCATTGAATAAATGCATTTTTGATGATGATGTTATCAAGATCTGGGTGTAAATTTTGTTAATGAATGCATGAAATGAGCTATTTTTGTGCTCCCTCCCTCTCCTCTACAGGCAATCAAGAATAGCAGTAGTAAACACACGATAGCATACACATTATCCAGGCATCAGACGGTGGTTGTTGAATATGCAAACGATACTTCAACGGACATGTTTCAGGTAGGAAGAAATCATGAAAGATCAAATTGATGTATAAACAAATCACTTTGTTTCTTACATGATGTTCATGCAATTTTGTCTTCTTGTAGAATAGTTATCTTGCTTGTATTGTAGGACTTATAATTGTTAAGTATTGTTTTGAGGCTTTTATTATCGCTAGAAATCTGTCAAGTCAAGAAAGTGCAATATCAGATCATTTAAATGTTTTTCATGTTACACCATTTAAAAATATCAAAATGTTTACATTGCTATTGCTTACTGATGTTTGTATTTTGTTACCATACAAGGAAATGTTACCCATGTAGCAGTTCATGAATATTAATTGGAGATTGTACAAAGTTGTCCCATATATACAGCTTGTAATGTATGAAAATTATATTTCTTATTGTCTGTAAACTTTGTATTCAATTGAAAACTTTGTGACCTGGAATTTGAGGGGATTATACATGGTGGCAATTTAAAGAAGTAAATATATTTGCATCATTGTAAATTCTCATTGTTCACAATTTATTTTTAGTGTTATGCTGTCATTATTTTGGAAATGAAAATAAAATGTGCATGCACAATTCAACACCATTTTACCCGAAATTACAAATGATTAGGAACCATGCAAAGCAACATTTTAAAATGTTAGAAACGGCTGTAGAAGTTTCTTAAAATTGTGCCTTGAACTTCTGATATAGCCGAAATGAGTTGTGGTTTTTTGTCTTCCTTGCAACAAAACTTGACATTTCAGCTATATAAATGTAGCAGCTTCTCAGACTTTTTCGTACAGGTGGAGGAAAGGTCCTAGCGTTGTAATGGACATTGAAGTACCTATAAATTGGCCTTTTAATAGAACCTAACAGGGAGTCAGTACCTCAGGGTATGAATGTGTGTAGGACGAGGGAAAAACAACATGTTCAGGACTCACAGGGATTAAAATTACAAATCCTTAAATATAGCTGTTCTATTATTGGTGAAGCATTAGAGTATCAAAGTACACAATATTTATCTACCACGATTCATCTCTAATCCACGGTTCTGACATTACAGATTGGCAGATCAACCGAACCGGTTATAGACTTTGTCGTCATGGATACGGTGCCCGGTGCCAAGACGCAGAAGGATTGCGTTGTCTCGGAAAGCACGATATCACGGTTTGCCTGTCGCATCATTGTGGAGAGGAGTCCGCCTCACACCGCTAGAATATATGCAGCAGGCTTCAACTCAACAAATAATATATTCCTAGGGGTAGGTATTGTTCACTCACGTTACATCCTCAGTCTCATACAGGTATATAGATCATCAAATAAATGGGAATTTGGATGTCCATCTACATGATGTACATTTGAGCAGAAAGTGCATTCCATCAGGCTTGCATTAAATCATCACACTGCAAAAGGGATGACTAAGGGTTTTTTACACTCGTGCAAAATGAAATAATCCCTTGATCCACTCATGAGATTTCTTCTCCTCTACAAACTAGACTAAAATGCGTAATGTGTGGTTCTAGATACAACCCTTTGATATATGTTGACAAGCGAAGAGTATGCAAGCTACTGGTATTGTCCTGAATTTGATTTGTATTGAGGTTTGAATTCTGTGGGCTTTCATTGTGTTTGTACAATATGGGCATTTCTACAGAGTTTACTGATCTATTGTGGTTTTTAATTGGAATTTGATCATTGATACTATTTGTCATCTCAAGTGTATGTAAGAAAAGGAAATCGAATTTGATGTACGTTTTTATAATGTTTTGCTCTTTGGTTTGATCAAGAGAAAAAGGCAGTATCTGGACTCTAACATGTAGGCCCATTCCTGTGTTATGACACCTTCATGATGTTATCATACACTGTGCTTTGAACAGGGTTATCAAAATATTGAAATAGATGTATCGTGTAAGTATCTAGAATTATCACTTCAGTTTCCAATTATGGGAATTTTTTTTCTTTCTCTTTAAATATTATTCCTCACATCTACATCATGATCATAACATAATGTATGCTCTGTATTTGATTAACTGTGCATATTATCTCTAATCATATTTTCTGGTTCTTCTTGCTATTGTGTTGGTTGCCAAGGGGCTTTTCAATGCATTTTGAAACTGATATGGATTTTTTCCCTTCAACCAACAATGACTGATTGAAATTGCAGAAAGTATTTGGTATTTATTTGTGATATTAATATGTCAGTGTATGTCTGTATGAAGTGTCCAACATTAGCAGTAGAGATTATCTCATATTGCAATTATAGCAAGAAAGGGTCTCTATTTCAGAAAATGATTTTAAAGGTTTTTTATGGAGAGGAAAATGAGTGTAGCTGATTGTATTTTGTTGAGGTCATGTGCTTTCTCGAACTACAATCTCAAAGATATGTATTTATAGAAGATACTTCTGTAAATTGTACTCCTGCCTGTGTTATAATGTATCGAATGTCAAGCATTAGAAGGTTGAATGATTTGATGAGACATTTCCTAAGGGTTTCTCCTGTACTCTTGTGCAATATATTCAATTGTGCGCTGGTATCAGACCCAGCGAGGGCGTAATCAAACCCCTCCTCCTGGATTTTCCTTCAAACAATGACAATTTCTCTGCATCGCTGTTACTCAGAAAACGCCTGCTCTCAACTCAGACGATTACTGACGTATGCAGTCTGTAATCTAATTCCAGTGTTCATCAGGGATTAAGCGCTTGGGATCGCTCCTAGCTCACACAGTGAATCATGTCATAATTTGTGATTATGTGTGTTTCCTGATTGTGTGTGATTCACAATGCTCTTTGTCACTCATTGAGAGTCATTCAAACTTGATGCATCATCTGTGAATGATGGAAGGTCTTTTTTAATTCTCAAATGGTAAAGGGTGGGACTCTAAGTTCTTCACTGATGACACATTGTCTACTCAGCCTTGGCAAAATTATCATTCATGTAGAAAAATTGGCATAGGTTTCAGTCAAAGGATGAAAGGAGCTTGCTCTTCTAAGCATATCATCACAGTATAAAGGATGTATGTTTACACAAAGGGAAAAATCTATTATAAGACTGAGAAAGTCCCCCCAAATGGAAATACAAAAGAATTGATTTAGGAACTAAAAGAGAAGTAGCCATCCAGAAAGAAAAAAATAGAGTGGTAATAATTTTTTTAGGACTGTAAGCAAATAGCAATGCTTTGGAAAATTATCAGCTTATGTCGTATCAGATATCAATTCTTAGGACTGATGCCATCAACACCGACAAAAACTTGTTTTTTAAATATTTTTTTCATGCAACATTAACTCTATTCTGTGTTGCACCCACATGTTTCTGGATGCAGATTAATTCATTTTCATTCACCTGTAGGAAAGGACAAAGCAGTTACATTTGTTTAGTCTTTTTACTCAAATGATAATTCGCTCTAGCAAACAAACCAGTACACTTGTTTTGTCCATTCTTATCGCATGTGTGGTTCTCTCAAATTTGATATTTGGATATTGGAAGAATTTATCAATGATTCATATTTTATTTTGATCACTGTTGCATCTAACGGATAAGCATTTGACAGCTGATTTGTAGTCCTGGCATAAGCCTTCTGTTCACAATAGGTGATGACGTGCTGTACTGGAGAAAGTTTATTGACCCCAACCCCTCATTTTATCCTCGAGAAATGAAAACAAACAGAGTGAAAAAATGTCCTTGGGAAATATTGCATCCGTCTTCATTTGTGGATATGCTGGCAGTTCATGCAATATAATAGGAACTACCTTGAGGCCATTCAATATCATCAATATTTACTCCCTCCAAACAGCATTGACTGAACTGCATGGGTATATACTTTTTCCTGTCACAAAAGCATTTATATATTATTGCTACATGTGGTTCCTTTTTTTATTACAAAGTACATGTACAATAGCAAAAATAAGTAATACTGTCTTCTGCTGAGAGAAAGAAACTAATGAAAAATCTTAAGCATTTGAATAGTTCATAAATCTTTGTTACAGTTTGTGCTTCAAAGGCAAATAAGGAGAATTAGAGCAAAATTAGTACTTTTTTTTTCTATATGTGTTTGGCAATTGCACTTCAACCCAAAATGGTATTCAATTTTTGTTTTCCTTTCCAAATTTACAGATATATTTCATTCTGTGTTTATAATACAGATTGTTTTTGTATTGAAAATGCTCAGGACCAGTTTGCGTCATAGCCTCAAAATGATCAATTGTACCTTGTTTGCCTGTTATTACATCTATCAATAGAATCACCAGCTCTCGGTTTTGATGGCAAACAGGGTTACGGAATTCTCATAATTAAGTTGTTTTGTCTGATACATGCTAATCGTTGCCTTGGACTCATTATGGTACTTTTGTAGAACTGTTCGTAGCTTCATGGGAGAACTGATGATGCGAAAAATTGTACATTGATTAAGTCAAATGATGGTGTGCTGCAGATTTGGCGCAGGTGATCAAATAAGTTTTCAAGTGAACTAAATCAAGACTTCAGCAATTTGGCCTATGAACTTTAACCAGTGACAATTAATATTGAATGTGATCATAAAACTTTATATTTCTTATAAAAGTACAATGTACTTACAAGAAAATGTTGTTAATACAGAAGGTTTACATACATTTAAAGCAATAAAGAAGGATAATTTCTAGAACAAGAAATCAAATTATAGAAACATGCTGGTAACCTCACTGTTGATAATTTGAAAAGTGTTAGAAAATAAATGACTATTGGGCAATTGTTATGGGAGCATGCATGTTCAATCTTATTGAACATCTTACACTAAAATCAAAGTGTTGGTACCTATAACTAACCTCTATCTGACCAATTTCTAATCATTGGACTAAAAGTCCAGGAAGTATATTTCATCTTCCTAGGTGGCCAGTAATGAACTTGAACTCACCCCAAGCTATTAAAGATGGTGCTAACGTATAACACCCTTGGCGAATTGAACCTTGAAGGTGCACTATAACAGGCAGGCAAGGCAGGAAATTGAGTTTTTATGAAATCTAGAATACGACAACATAAGGCTGGATGTGTGGAAAAGAGATTTAGGGGGAAGAGTACGTTCCTGCTTTTTTCTTTTTTTTTAATCATGAGAGGAAGCAATGTTTTATAGGCCGTGGAAGAAATGTGTGGCAATCTGGAAGTATAATACAGGAAAGAAGTCTTTTTGTAAAGAAAAGATTTTGAACTGCGATTGCCATCAGGCTGCTCAATGACTATTGCCAAGCCTTTATTTCAAGGTACGGTGTATCAAGTTAACTACCAGAATGCTAATGGATATTGAGATCTCATATATTTATTACCATTGTGTATTTAATAAAATTACTTGTCCTTTCCTGTTCAGCAATTTATCATCCCATGTATTTTTTTTATATTACATATTTATCTCTTTGACCTTTTAGGCTATGATGGATGTAGAAACAGAGAGAGAGAGAGAGAGAGATTTTTTTGTTGTTGCTTACAATACTATGTACCTGAAATCTTTTACTCAAACTTCCTGTGATAATTTGTTTTTTTAAATACTTTAAAAAAAAATCACCCACTTTCATTTTTGTGTAAAAATGTAAATTACCTATATGCAATTTATTTTACCATATTTGATGATACAAAGATAAATTACTGGTCAACAGAATTTAGCAAGTAAAAACATTTATAATAACCACTCCCACTCTTATTACATTTTTGCACCAGGAGAAAGCATGCAAATGGAAAACCGAGTCAGGAATGGATGGGTTAACAACAAATGGTGTACTGATCATGAGACCTAAAGGAGGCTTCCAATCAGATGCAACACCAGGAGTATGGAGGGAAGTATCAGTCTGTGGCAATGTCTATTCACTCAGGGAAACACGGTCATCACCTCAAAGAGGAAAACTGGTAAGAATGAATCTTTTCTGACTATTTAATCCAATGACTGATGATTTGTCTCATTCCCTTCATGGCAATGGGTTAACATACATTGGCCCTTTAAAAGATTGTTTCTGTTGAGGGCTCTTCAAATTTTGAACAACAATTTTTTAAAAATATGAATGAAAATGTGGGGGGTAGATGGAGTCCCACAGGAGTTTGCGGTGAGCTAAATATCCCTGAGTCCGTAGCAGTATTGTTAGCATTGATACCCCGTAGGGGAACATCATTTGTTTAGACCTCCTTTAGAAGGGAGCTGTGATTGCAAAATATGCCTTTACTATATGGAGATAATTTGATTCATCCTTCAACTTTCAACATAAGTTATGCACATGCACTCTTTGAAGAATAAGTATAGAGACTACTGCCTCATAGACAGGGTGCCTCAGCAGTAAACATGCCACGCTATTTCCTCATGATTGACTGTGGAAATTGACATGGACATGTTTGACTAGTTCATAGTGAGACTTAAAGGGACACTCAACATCATCTGCGTAATGCACAGAACATAGTCTCAAGCCCAGAGAATAAGCCAGTTCACGGTTGCAGTCTGAGCATGAGCAGATCAAGGTCATTGCAGAACAAATTTTGAAATACACGGAGACGGAATACTGGATACGTGCTCATGAAAGTTATGTAATCGTTATTCATTCTTGCACATTCAGTGCAATCCATGATACACAGGTGGAAGTATTCTTTGAAAAGGGGAAACAAAGACTAGCACCTCCATCGCTGTAGGAGTGATTATTCCAAAATGTAAAAAGTGGGACCTCTTCATGTTTTGAAGATCTGTGGATATTCGGGGTCATTGCAGTAATGTGCTAACCGTGAACTGGTCTATTGCTGGTCATGAAATAGTGTAATCGTACAGCCAAGCAAGTAAACTACATGTAACCTAATTGACAGTGTTTGGTATAAAGTTTTATTCGCAATGCAAGAGAGTATTGATTTTCCTCAGGCACATTTTCCAGAAGGCCTTGCTACTTTGTTCCATGGTCAATACAAGTCATGGTAGTTTGCCCCCTCCCCTGACCCTTACATCCTGCTCTCCGATCCCCCCCTCCCCACCCCAGCTCAATTTTAAAGCTGGTAGGGCTATAATATATTGAGAGAAGAGGAAATGCATCGTAGGTACCATGACATGAATATTATGGTGTTACATGTAGATATAGTGTGAAACTTGTTTTCCACTAGTCTTACATTTACATACCATACTCATTGTTTTTAGTTGTTATATATAGGCCATCCGTATAAAGTCACAATTGCATTTCAAGAGGTTGCTATAATTGACTGCAAGAAGTCATAACAATTTAGTATTACAGAGTGTTGATACAAGGTAAGACAAGGAAAACATAGGTGAACTTTCTCATGATATCGCTGTAAAAATGGGAAACATGCTGACTTGTATAGTGATTCAACAGAAATGAATGACTCAGAACGAGAGTGGGAAAACACTCAACACCGAACTCCTAATCCTAGGGGCAAAAAAATAACCACCAGAATTGACCTCTGAAAGGTCTAAATACAACCCAGGTTTTGAAGAAAATCATCATTACATGTTGTTATGGGCCATTGTTTTCTCTTTCTTTCTTATTCTTGTTTATGTTGGTCTTTTATTGAGTTTCAACCATGTTTTTCTTCAATTTCTCTCACGTCTTGTACTCATAGTCTACCATGTTAATACAAATTAAGCTATTTTGATGTTTGCATGCTTACATTTTGAAGAACAGTTTGGCAATATGCTTTTATGTCTAATTGCCTTCTCCCTTTTAGGGCACTACGCAAAATATATTACGGATAGTATATTATTATAGAGAAAAGAAATATTAAGAGAAAGTATTTTAGCAGACATTGATAATATTAAAGGGAAATAATATTTGTTTAATCCCAGTGTGTGACCTGTCACCATTTTACATAATAAGATATCATTGTGTCGATTTTGACATTGTTTTGTATCCGACTTATCCTGGATTGGAGAGAAGTGGACAGTGAGGAAATATTTTCATGTCCGATGAGATCCCACACCGTTGGACTCATTTGTGTGCCCCCTCATGTCCTCTATGTGATCCCTATAATGGGCACTTAGCATGCGTTTTTGCAATCATCTCCTAGCTAGCCATTCTGGCTTGCCTTATAGCACCCCTTAGATGATGAGGTGCACTTGGGAACACACGTATACATGTCTGTTGAAAGGCATTGCGCAGCTAGAATAGGCATCTATGGCTTGATTGCATCGCTGGTCACCACCAGTTGATTATTAAAAATGGCCTACATGTTTCAATGCGTAAATTCTTGATTGTGAAAGTGTAGCCAGTCATCTTTATGATCATGATAGTGTTGATTGTAATGATGGAATTCACTCTTAGGACACTCCATAAACATGTATATATGCCATATCACCTCCCCCCCCCCCCCCCCCCCCCCCCTGAATATGTGTATTTTAAAAATTCAAAATTCCTGTTGGGGAACATTATATATTAACTTTAGATAAAAATATGTTGGTTGATAAGTATTTACACAAAAGCAGTGATGGGAAAATTGTGATATTTTGCATTTTCTAATTACCACATTTAATAGCTTTATGAACTGCAATGTATAATGATAGGTCGCCCATTCACTTTTATCTCAGACTTTCACTATCTATGATTACATGAAACAAAAAGCAACAATACAAAAATTGATAAAATTTGTTGATAACTGGACTTGAGACTTACATGATTTGGATGTGGTTTGAGCGTGGGAATATTTCAGTCCGGCATGGTCCTGTCTTTACCCAACTTGTTAATACGTGTTCATGTAAACATGTGCAAGAGTATTGGGTACAGATGGGCATGTTGTGGCGTGTTGAATTGGATCAGTCATCATGACTGGTAACGAATTTCCTGTGGAAACCCCAAAGTGTTGCATTGAACAGTTGAGACAAAGATTGTGAAATGTTTACATGGTCCATCCTGGGGCTTTTAAACTTGAGTATACTGTAGATTAGACTGACCTTCGAATTGCATACATTTTCATCATTCTGCATGAAATAACATGAGAATGTTTGATTAATTTCTTGGGTCATAATTGTATAGTCCAAAGAAATTATGTTTTTACATCATAAAAATGTGTTTAGAATGCTACACATTCTATTCATTTAGTTAATATCCGTATGCAAATTTATATACATGATAAAGATGTGCAGTACAAATGTAAGTACATGTGAACTTCAAAGGAACAAAAAATGTTATTCAATGAACACTGTCATTATTAAACCATTTTAATTCAGACCCCTCTGTTGGTTTCATTGCTTTTAGAAAAGTAATCCACATTTGAATTACATCAATATTTGTAGGTGTGGTACCCTACTATGCTCTAATTATCACAAAGTTTGATGACCTTATGCAACACAACTCATCACTATTCAGTTTTCATATTTTGACTGACCAACCCATTTTTCTTTTGATTGAATTCCGGTTTCTATTTATAGATTGAAGATGAAGACAATATACTGGAGGATGGTACTCTAGTCGACTTGTGTGGAGCAACGTTACTATGGCGATCAGCAATGGGCCTCGTCAATACTCCAGTAAGTATCATGTACTTGTCCTTAAAAGATGTGACATCAAATCAAAGATCGTTGTGGAAATGTATTATAGAAAAACTCTGGTAATGTCAGGCTTAGATTGGAAATTAGTCTGTGCATCTTAGCCTAGGAATTCCTTCAGACTTGTTGATATCTCTTTGTTCAGAGAGAGAAGAAAGATTTTCAAACACTGCAGGAGTTTTAAGTACGATCTAATTAGATTGGTTTCAGTGCGTCTTTTTTCATTAATCGGTATTGATATTTTTTCTCTCCCAGATTTTTTCATCCCTTGACATACACACTGACCATTTCTTTACCAAGATTATTAGAAAGCCTCCTGTTCTCAAATGAATTTTTTCAGATCTATGTTTATCTTTATTCCTGGGTATTTATATCACAGTAGTTCATACTCCTTCCCATTGGGGAAAATTATTGTTATAATGCCACATGATATATCCTGTATCGGACTCATGAATTTGTGCTTTGAGATTTGTTAAATTTATGATAATCTTATTCAGAGTCCCACATTGTTTGATCTCCTCTTGATACCCATTCCATGACACAGTACCGAACTTCTCACAGCTAACAGCGACATGCCAGTTTTATGAAGATTTCCTCTTAGTCATTTATTTGTGAGAGTCTGGAATGATTTATGGACAATGTGACTGGATTTGGGAGCAAGAAAAATTCTGGAAGCAGCATATGTTTCTCATGATGCAATTGTGGAAATATTTCAGCCATTCCATTTTCTGAGAGAAGTACATGACCGAACCCTGACAACCTTATGAGGATAAAGCAGAATAAGAACAATCCCTGCCTATGATTTATCTATTTTATTACTTTGTTTCTTCTGGTTGCTCTCTCTATAACTTTCGTTTTTATGAAGTTTTTTTCCCCTCTTTATCTCTTCATAATGTATGTTAATGCTACTTGTTTTATTGATTTATTTGTATACAATACACTCCTCTATCTTCAATATTTATTTTCCCCCTTGCATCCTATTGTAGTTTGCCTATTATTGTGTGCCGAGTCCATCAAAAAAAAACTAGACAAGAGTGGTGAGCAGTTTAGCTCTCAAAAGCTCCAAAAGAACTTTGGTAAAAAACAAAAATAATAAATACATGTACCGGGTACATAAAATATCGCTGTGAGAAAATCATGCTTTTACATTTTCTAAAGCAGCCCCCCCCCCCCCCCCTGGAACAGAAAACTATTTTTCTACTGACTGAGTCATACATGTAGATATTTAAAGTCTGCTATAAAGAGATTGACTTGCTTTTTAAAGCAAATAACAGTGTATTACCCATTTTACCCCCACCCTAACCATAACCACACCACACCACACCACACCATCATCCATGACCTCTACTATCTCTGAAACATGAGGAACCAATACTACGTGTACAGACAGATTGTAAAACACATTGCCTTCCAAATTAAGGGGTTAGGCAAATATCATGTCTTCCAGAGCCAATGTTTGTTTTTACTTACCGTACATGCAATATCACACAATACTAATAAATGCACTCATCTAATCAAATGGAAGAACTGTGTGTTCATTCTGCTGATCAATAAGAGATGGCCTACTGATGGGCTATTTGGGGTACTGTTATATGGCAGGAATAATAGTTGTTTCTCAAGGCCGGTGAGATAAAGTAATTCTGTATTAAACAAGGATTGCACTCAAGCGTCAAGGAGAATTTAAAAAAGTGTTTGGTCGATGTGGAAAGAGTGAGCTCAACCATTTCCCTTTGAGGTTCAATTTTGGATAATTATTTCCCCAGATTGTGTGTAACTTGTTCCAAAAAATCAAGAGTGCTTAAAGAGGGGAAAACAGATTTCCAGTTTTACTTTGCTTGGGCATTTGGGTATTTACCAGTATTATCATTATACATATACATACCAAACACTTCCAGTGCTCAAGGTATAATCACTGTCAATTTATCTTGCACAGACAAGGACTGTGTTTCATCTTTATTTAATAAACATTTCAGAATGGCTTCCATTATTATATAAAATCTATTTTCTATTCTCCCCCCAGACACAGAGGCATTTAGAGAGGCTACGTCAAGACATTAATGACACCAGGCCGCAGTGTCCTATAGGCTTCAATACATTAGTCTTACCAAAAAATAGACAGTCTTCAAAGGTAAGAGTTTTATTTCCTTGTTACAAAAAAGAGGTATGCATCCTTGAAACCATTGTGTCCTGCTTCCTATGTTTGAATGATGTTTAATAAATGTTTGAGGTTTGGGAAAATAGTGCATAAAAGTACATTTGCTTTTAAAATGACAAATATATATGTGTTTGGATATCATAAAGACACACTTCTTTGATTAGGTAGGCAGAAATAGGATTTTGCAATAAATGAATGATTGCTAGCTACATATGAAAATATTAAGTTATCATTGAAATTGATTATAAACAGTATTTTTGTATTGCAAAATGAAATTAGAACATGATGAGTCGTTTTGTTTTATTTATTTTGTGGGTGCCATTTTGGGGGCCTGAAACATATATTCTAATCATTGTTCATTTAAGAAATAAAGGATTTTGTTTTACCCAGTAGATGTTATTCAAATATGTTCATTTGCCATCTCTTCTTTGAACGTTCAGATTATGGAAGAGAAACAGCCCTATGCATATCTAAAGTGTGGTCATGTACATGGGTATCATGTATGGAACAGTAAAGAGGCGGCGAAGAACACAGAGAGAATGTGTCCCATGTGTAGAGAGGTAAGACTAACCTTTTAATCGAACCAACCACGTTGTATGGTTATCATGAATTATTATTATTATTTTTGTTTTATTTGAGTAGAAGTAGTAGTAAAAATAGTGATGGTAGTGGTAGTAATAGTTATATTAATAGTAGTGGTAATGGTGGTTGTAGAAGTAGCAGCAGTAATAGTAATAGTAGTAGAAATCCGAAGTCATTTAATTATGATAATAGCTACCGGTACATTTTTTTAATGCACATAAATATCCCAAGAGGTGTTTATCATTGCTACAAAAATACATCATTGTTTTTGCTAAGCTATCTTAGAAGGTGCTTAAAGTCTTCAAGCCTTCTGTTATACATTTACAGGGCACATCTTTACAAGTTGTGAGCTAATATGTTTCTCCTTGACTGACATAATTAGCTTTCATTTGTTTGTTAACCCTTGTAAACTCTGCTTTATTTCCCAGGTGGGTTCGTACGAGGCCCTTATCATGGGGAACGAGGCAAGCTTCTATGTGGATCAGGGTCCTCCTAGCCATGCCTTCTGTCCCTGTGGGCATGTCTGCTCAGAGAAGTCTGCAAAGTGAGTATGAGAGGGCCGGGGACATGGCATGCTGGCTTTCCAGCTTGACCTACTGGACCTGATGTTCAACATAGATCCAAAAGAAGAGTGGATAAAAATATCCTATCCAGATAGTGCTCATGATTATGATTGTGATTGCAAATGATCCATCTATCATTGCATGTGGTTGGGGGGGGGGGTAGGGGGGATTGACTATGTACATCAATAAGCTCCTTTACCTATGAAAAGCTGAAATGTGTACCTTTGAATTTTTTACAAAACATGTAACCACTAATAATGCTATTGATTAAGTGAAAGGACTGATCAAAGACTTGAGAAGAAATTTGTAGAAAGAAAACATGGATGTGATGGAAACTCCTTTAAAAATTTACAGACAAACAAAAGGTTAACCTTAGACCTCAAATCCTTCAATTGTTCTGTTGTTAACCCCACTATGAAATTGTTATGAATTTGTAGATTACATCTGTTATGCTCTGTTAATTTTGTTTGTTTGTTTGTAAACACATAATTAATTTAGTTAAATTGGTTCTAACCTTCTTTAGACCCTAATATGTTTTGAAGGGAATTTGATAAATTCATTGCAAGGAATTTCAACAAATGTGTCGGGATGATCATGATCACTATGATTGATTACTGTAGAAAAGGACAGTATATAAGCTAAACTTTTCATGGTCTTGCTTACCCAGTTAACCTATAATATTTCTATTTTTGTCTAGATACTGGTCTCAAGTGCCCTTGCCCCACGGGACCCATGCATTCCAGGCTGCCTGCCCCTTCTGTGCTACCGCTCTCAGTGGAGACCAAGGTTACATCAAACTCATCTTCCAAGAAGCCATCGATTAGGCCATTTACTGGTCAAGACTTTCAATCGGCCAGACTTTTAACCAGGTTGTCTTGACCTTTGGCTAGCTAGGCAAACCACCTGAACTGCCACGACTAGAAACTAACGAAAGTCATATTTCTATTAGACTCTTGACCTGTTGAATCGGAGAGAGGAGACTTCACATGGATCATAGGATTGCTGGTCATCACTGACCACTGGACCAGGATAACATTCTTGATATTGATCCATAGTTATCACATGAATTAATGTCTATAGACATTGACCTTTTTGGCTCTTGGTGTGCATATTGTTTAGTTGTCTACTACAGTATATGTATGTGTTTTCTTCATCACTGCCTATTGTGAAGATTTGAGATTTAGCCAGAACATCTTCCAAGCACCTAAATGGACTAGAACAGGACGTAATTCCCTAAGAAATGATCATCTGATTATGTTGCATCACGTGATTGTATTAATGTACTTCCATCTGTCAAAGCGCCTGCATCGTACTAAACACACTCAAAATATATCAATAGATGTCACAAGGATGAATATTACAGGTGTGTTCAAGGCTTGTATTACGAGTATGGTATCTTTGTAAAAGGGTTTGATAGAAACCAGTAAAGATGTTAAAGTATAGGTACATCAATGCATTATTCTTGACCTTCCAGAGTAAAATCTACCAGCGTTGTACAGGGAGTAAAATTTGAAATGCTTTAGATATACTTTGCTTGAATTCAACTTGAATAATGTGATAGACTTTCTACATTGTGTCAATTGACACCTTGACACCATTTGTTGTTAAAGCAGTACATTATAAGCAGGATGGATATACATAAGATCAACATTCTGAGAGAAGAGAAAAATTGGGGATGAAAATTGATGATACTTTTGTGAACCATGTGGGCTCTACAAATATATCTAAAGAATGTATCTTGCCAAAAATGGCTGAGAGAAAGACGTATGTTTGATAAAGAAATGCACAATCTCCTTTGTAGCCGAATTAGGAAAGAAGATTTTGGGGAGGTCTGGATGTCATGTGATAGCTGTTTCCATGACATCCATAGTCTACAATGAGGAATTCCCGATTTGTATCCAAAATGAAGAATCATTAAATGATATTCATCTTTACTCAGAAAAATTGAACTGATTGTGGGGCCATATCACTGCCTGCTTTGTCTGTATGAACCTTAGCACAAAGACATGTAAACCTCTTCTCCCCACTGATGGAACTAAGACTAATAACAGACTAAATTGACCAATACAATTCTAGACATGGCTGCTCCATACACACAGTGCCTGCTAATATTATATCTTGGTATTTACCCTTTTCTTTACATCTCATGTAACCAATGTTTATTTTAACTAGAAAGTAAGATATCGTCTTTTGAGTGCCAGAAGGGTGTTGACCCATATGCTTTAACACAGAGTTAATGCCCTTCTGGCTCTCAACAGAGGATATGTGGTCATTCTAGGAGTATAGCAAGATTCCATTTCCTTGTCTTGCACATTATGTATATGTATTTATTTAAAGATTGCTCTATAAGGATTATCAAGGCCATCCCACACTTGATTGATATCACTGGAGAGAAAGGCCAGAATTCACAAAGTATGTCATATGACACGTTTTGATGCTTTTTTCACAAACTTGGTTTGTAAAAATGCGTCAAAACGGTTTGTCGACAAACCTCCTTTGTGAATTCGGGCCAAAGAGTTTCATTATTTCGGGATTGTAGTCATGGATCCCCAAAATACGCCCTCTAAATTTGCATTACTCGAGTGATAAATGATTAATTCTCAATACTTTCAGATACTTTAGAACATTCTATCATGGTTCCCCGAACTCCACCCTGTCCCCCAAACCCCATCCAGTCTTCAAAAAGGAAGCACAAATTGGTGCAAACTCATAGATAATTGCTTTCCATGCCTATAGTAGGGTTGCACGTACAAACTTGGAAATGTGTCCCAAGATCTGTTTCATGAAAAGGTTCTTTTTATTTAGGTGGTGAAAGTGACCAAAATATTTGTGTGCCTTTTCTGTATCATACCTAGCAAATGATTTTGTTTGATTTATGTCATTAATCATCAATAGTTATTGAATGTCTAAATTGTCTTCGAGTATCATGAATAGTGAGATAGTCATTCTTTTGTTCACAATTGTCATGATTTAATGAAATGTTACACATGTCTATTCACACAAACTCAATCATTTGAATCTGTTTCTAAGAAGGAAGCTCTACTATATGTCAATGTTGACTTAAACATTATTTTTCTCTTAAGATATGAAGCCGAAAAGTTTTCATAAAACACAGAACTGTAGTCTTGAATTATAACTCTCATTATGCTGTTCTATTAGAAGAAATTTCAGGCAAGATATCCACAATTGTTTCATTTATGAAAATATTGATGTTTAACTGCAGACAATATTAATTTAATTCTTTCTTCTCAAATGCTTTACACAACAAATCAGATTGCAAAACAGAATATATTCAAGCAATTAATTTTCCCCGCAAGCAGAAAAGAATCAAATTGGTAGACACATGAATATAAGTGTCAAGTGTTCATGAATACATTGCTGTGTAGTCAACTTTGAACACAAGAAAAGAAAATATTGGTGTGAAATTGAATTGGGTGAAGGAATTTGATATTTGCAGAGCTGATCAATGTGTTTTGGGTTTTTGACCAATGTATGATACAACCAGAGTAGCTTTCAGTGGAGTGTGCTTTACAGGCCTTTCTCATTCTGTAAATAGATGATACACCAATATATTCTCAAGCAGTTCAGCATTATTGTCCATTTTGCCTCATTTTTGCCAGCGGACTGTTTACTGATCACGTTTAGATCTAGGAGTAGGACCAGATCAGGGTGAAAGGTAGAAGGTAGAAATCAGTCAATACATTTATTATTTATAAACATATTCTATTTTATTTGTTCATGTAGTATCTCCTTGAATATCAATTGTTTTTTTAAAGTATCAAATGAATAATTCATTTCTTTTCCAAAGGGAGAATAAAGAATTGGTCAGTCAATAAAAACTTCCTGATCAGAGTTCAGCATTTTATATTAAGTTGCCTAATTCGAAGAATTCCAGACTAACTGTGACTTGTGGAAATGAATGTCATGTTGGACAGCTTTTCATTTAGCAAATCATTTAGAAATTCACCATCTAAAAACATTCCGTTTTGCACAACACTTTCCTAAAGATGTTGAACGTGATTAATGACAGGAGTTACAGTTACCTGAAGCCAGGGCAGAATTGGTTAATAATTGTCTATGGAACAACACGCATTTCAACAATATTCAGCTTGCTTTTTGCAAGAAAAAATGAATAAATACAGAAAAGTGTAACTTTAAAGAAAAGATAGAATATGCACAGTGTGTGCAGATTTTCTTTGTGTAATTGCAAACCTGTGCTCATTTATTTAATAATTTGACACGTTTCTTTACAGACATCATTCCTCTTCTACATATTTAGTTTGAATCTTTGATCGGATCATGCTGGGTTATGAATTTTGATTGGTCTTGAAATTGCTGTGGATTCAGAATAGCAAACTGAATTTAGACAGAACAGTGAGACTCTTTAGGGTTTGTGCTGTAAATCAAAGAGTTTACATCAGCTGAGAGCCAGAAGGGTGTTACTCTAAATAGATGATATTAAAGACAGACCATATGGTGAATGGTCAAATGACAATTCACATTTGAAGAAAACAAAAGGAAAAAAAGAATGAAATACGTGCTTGTAGACTCAGTGATAATAACAATGCCATGAATGATGTAAATAAAAATGTATTGGAATTAGGGAATGTACATAAAGGTAGTTTTTTTTTTTTTTGTGAGAGTCAAATTTTGTGAATAAGAATTTTTGTGTATTAAAAAGTACATGTATTTATGTACAAAGTCATTATATTGCTAACTCTATGGAGAAAATTGTTCTTATTTATTACAATGTACCATTAACTTATTTGCATTTATGAAAAGAAATGACAATTCAAATTTCATGTATGTGGAAATGTACTTTCTTTCTTTGTGTTCAAGTTGAACAGAGTTTCAAGATGCCAATTCATGTATTGGTGTTTTTTATTTTTTCATGTTGGCAAAAGCTGGATGGAATTATGATATTGACTATCATGATGTATCTCAGTATTACACAATTTTTCAGATTATTTTAGGTGGAATATATATTTTTACCAATTCTATTTATTTTGCAGAAAACGTGCTGTCGCTACAATTGCTTGGATTGAATATTTTAACTTGTCCATACAAATAGCTTCCATGAATATCATCATATGTGGAGATAATGCATAAAATCCTTGTTGCATTTCGTATGTCGAACCACAGACTCACATCTAAATACTGTATCCGCTAATATTATTCATTAGAAAAATATTAGGTCATTAATTTTCATCTAAGCTGCTCACAAGGAATGCATGTATAGAATCTGGCATGAAAACAGTTTGGTGTCTGCAGACTATATGCTATTTGCTATGCGTAAATCTGCTCCTTAAATACAACTGTAACTCTTTCAAATTTTAGACCAAAATGCATCTCAATGTGATTAAGAGTTCTCTGTTTTGAGAAGTCCATGAATATTTCATTTTGCTATTGCTGATTAGTTTATTTGAAATGGTCCTTCGTAGGTATTTATCTCACCTGGGAAGGGCGATATATGTATAAGTGGTTTTCACTATTCTCATTTAAATGGATGTGCTGCATATTAAAGATTGCAAGAAATCTGCAGCTTCAGTGTTGAGAATAGAGTGAACAACAGTGTACTGCATCCTACCAGAACCTTAAAGAGGTGTCCTGAAAGCAGCATTTATACATGCATCATTTTGGAAGAAAATTGAGGAAGAGAATATGTGCAATCTATGTGCTGAAATGTGATATTGTATGTTAAAGTTCTACAAAATAACTGAAGAGGAATGTGATGTTGTGTGCCCAGAAAGGCGTGGACGTATTAATTAAGCTAATACCCTTTTTTTAGGCACATGACACTGATTGAACACCTGTGTTTGAATGCTTCATACACGTTGTATGAGAAAATGGGAAATAATGATCCAGGTAAATATACAACCTTGTAATTTTTCAATGTCAGTAGCTCGTAAAAGAGAGAAAAAAAAGAAGACAATCTTTATCATCTTGACTACAGTAACAATGCTCTCACATCCTGTATGAAAGCCATGCTGAAATAGGTACAAAAAATAATGAATTGGATGTGCATACACTTATGCAATGGTGTTCTGAAAAATTGTTAAATTATGATGCTTTCCATAAGTGTGTATTAAGAACCAATTGAGAGCATGTACCGGGTATGCATCTATAGTGGACCGTATTTGTAAGATGTGGCACAATGTGAAATAAAAAGAAAACCTTTCCATTTTCAGAAAGTATCTCATGTAGTACTCCATTTTGTTTTTCTTCTTTGGCTTGATCTTACGGACTATTACCTTGCCCTTAAGGAAAGCCCCGCATATAACCATTGTAAACATAGTTAAAATTTACTGTTACTTTGTATATTTTGATTTTTATATTGCGAAATAAAATTGAATTGAATTGAATTGAACGAGGCCAGAGGGAACAGAAAGCACGGATCTCTGATAATCAGAAGTTCCATGCTCCAAGTGTACATTATTCACAACTCGAGCTATCGGCTTGACATAACTACACATGATTTGAATTAGTTATCAACTACATTTGTAGAGTTGTATATTCAACCAAGCAACTCAGTCACCATGACCATGACAAGTACACATAAAATGCTTGGTTTTTGGTAAAGTAAATTGGAAATGAAAACTTACCATCTGGACCTTGAGCATTTGCCTACGTGCATGTTCAGTTGTTGCTGACTCTTGGTAATCCAATTAATATCGAGCGTGACTTTCACCATGAGCTAGCTGCTCATCCTGCACAAGTCTTTGTCCTCTGGGCAATAGCTACACTATGCCTAACATAGCAACTTACTCTGACACCCATGGCATGTAGGAATAACACACCTGGCCTGGACCACCTTCATACAACTTTGAATATCACTTCCTACTTTTCTATGACAAATAATGCTCTTCGCCAATCAGATCATGATTTAAGTAGCTTATACCAGTCATTGTATATGTGTAGCTTGATATTGAGAATAGACCAGTTTAATATTCAAATTTTATGCATACTTTTTAAACAAAGGTTGTTCTTGACAACCCAAAAGTGTCCCCAAGGATTGCCTGACATAGTATCATGTAATGTATGCAGACTGGATTCCAAGTATTGTAGTTCATTCATAATAATAGGTTAATGGATATATAGTCCCAAAGAAAGAAACATCCATAAATTTGAATATTTTAGTAAACCTGTCTATTGGTGTTATGAAAAAAGGTCTAGACTGCATTACTAGCAGTGTATCCTTCATTCAAAATAAGAGCAGCACAATGAAATAAAATCAAAGGTAACCTTCAATTTAATAGGCCATTTTCATAATGTAACCAAATTTAATGCACAAGTCTTTGTGAAGTGCCTCAATACAAATTATTTCATTCACCTGATATTAAGAAAGACAGTATTTCAATAGTCAGACTAGATCTATGCAAACTGCATATACAAGTGTTGCTAGGTAGGTCAAGCCATAAAGTTTGTCCAACCTGGCAACAATTAATGTATGCAATTCGGATTCTGTCTATTGAAATACTATTATTCTTATCAGGTGAAAGAAATAATTTGTATTGAGACATTTATGCATTAAATTTGGTTACATTACGAAAATGGCCTATTATGATGATAATATGGGTTGCATAATTACTGCACTGAGAGTTGTATCAAATTTTGGGCAATTGACCTATTTAACAACTAAGAAAAATTGCTGACAACTAGCCCAATTTAATTTTTTGATTTTTTATTGGAGATCTCATTAATTTGCAGTACTGATCATTTAGTGTATTAAAGTTTGGTATGAATCTGTAATTATCAGAACTTTAGATCACCTTTGAACATAAACTTAAGACAATATCTAACATCACATCACAGTACATCAGACACTTTTGCAAGCACGGCATATGAGATAAACAGTACCACCAATAACAAAAACATATATATATATATATAATATATATAATATACAGTCTGATGATTTTTTTTATCAGGATTGCCTTAGTGCATTTCACTTTATTTTGTAGTTTTCTTTCACATATAATATGTATCATACTTGTACAATCATAAAATAGTTTATTTGTATTTGTACAATTTTAACAAAAGGGGGAAAAAACTTTACAAATTAGTCAGATGTGTTCAATAACAAAAATCAAACACATTGTATAACCAATAAAATGGGCATAATTACAAGAGTTGGTAACTAATTGAACTCATTTGCATTTACATAAATGCGCAAAATATATACATACATGTATATATCGATAAATTTCCTAAATTTGATCAACAAATTAAGGAGGTCTTGCCTTGCAGTAGCAGATATTTTTTTCTCCAATCTATTCAGAACTCAATTATACCGACAAAAACAGAAGATGTTGTTATTCAAATACATTCATGGCATAATACTGCTATTTGGGACAGTATGTTTTTCTTTTCACTTCATTGAAACCTATTTTTGGCAATTAAGACCTATTTAATGGGCAAAAGCAAAAAATAGAGAGATGAAAGAAAAGTATTGAAGAGATCTACTCATCTCAAATTTTTTCCAGGAAATTCCAGCTTTCCTCCAAACGATTGTATCGCTATTCAAAAAGAAATTGGAAAATATCTTCATGGACCGTAACAATGCATGAGAAATTATAATTACAGGTACTAGATTTCAAAGTTTTGGTTAAAAACAGATTTGCAGCTGCTAATTTGTTATATTATGCAGAACACCAGAAGCAATATGGTGAAAACAAAATGTATGGTAGATAAGTAATATATCATATGTTTTGAAACTGTTGTCAAGTACTACGAAGTTAAAACCCATTTGCTCTTTTAAATGGTACGCAGTTCTATCGTCGTCATACCTTCATACAATGTGCAAAGTTTGTGCTAGCTCGCAACACTATAAATGCCCAAAATCCACACATATACATGTAGGTTGTCCTGGCTTTAAGTTTATAAAGAATAAAGAATGCCAATCATTAACCAAACTCAGGTGAAACAAAAGCTGAAGAATATCCTTTGAAATAACTTTACTTAAATTTTACTTGCTTAAAAGCTGTGAAAGAAGTTAAGTTAAAAACAAAATAGAGTGAACAATGTTTTTTCATAATGCCGTTTACCTTTAAAGAACAAAGAAAGGTGACTCTTTTCAGCACTGTCATTAACATTTGTGATTGAATCTCACACACAGATACTATCAAATGACCAGGTTCGACCAAGTCATAAACGGAGAGAACAGAGTACATGCTTTAATGCCAACTACTCATGGAGCTACGAAGCAAAGAAAAATTCAAAATAAAAAGTCATAGCATAGTTCAAATCCTCTGCTCATTACACTGTTATATGATAAAGCAAAGAAAACTGCTGTAGTTTCCCAGACTGTTCTGAAAAAAGAGAGGTCAAATATATTGTTTTTTAAAGCAAACAAAATCATTATTACAAGCTGTTAAAAGAAAAACAAACTAACAAACAAACAAACAAAAATATAATGCTAGTTAAGCTGTATGAAGCATAGACAAACTTGGTGATACAAACTGCTTTGTCTCTTTCCTCTCTCTTATTATAAATGGCTAAAGTAATGAAAATGGCCTTCAATAAAATATTTGCAGCAAACACAAGAAATATCCAACACTATCAAATGTACAAAAAAGAGTGACCTTGGAATTGCCTTTGACATGTAAGCAATCACAAAGGGTCTGTTTGCTACAATATTTCTTGTCTGTTGATTTTTTTTTGTGTCCACTATTTGGAAGGCTCATGAACACTGCTATGCATAAGAGAAAAGACAAAGGAAATACAGAAGTCAATGTGCATCACCTTCCGATAGGTATAGCCCATCACACTTCACGCCAATCAATTAAACACAATAGCAGAACAAACAAAAGAACAAAAAGTACAAAGGAATTGTACAAAAAAAATCAAAATGATTATGCCATGCTTGTTAAAATTATATTCATGGTAAGCCAACATAAATATACAATATACATTTATATGAAATCTAGACTTGGAAGGCTTAATTCACATGCTATACACTCATATATAATGTTGAAATATTCATATATACATAGTATTATCTATGAATTATTTACAAATGTTTCAACAGTGGATCCAGAGACATTATCTCGCACCCAAAAGACCCACAATGTGTACAATATCAGTAAAAAGCAAGTTACTCATGTTATTTCAGTGCATATAATGTTTTATGATCAATAATATAGTCTACAATAATATACTTTTTCTCACACAAAACTGAGCTGCAAATGAAAAAAAAAATCTACAAGAAGAGCTTTAACAGTTCATGATAAGCATGATACTAAGACATAGGAATGAAGATACCGACTCTTCTAAACACGGTTGCACCCCCTAAAACGAGTGAGATACAGTACATGTGGACATGTAGAAATGCATATAAAAAGGGTCAAAGAAATTTTAATACCAAAACACTTTTCCTGCTTATGATGATACACCTGTGTTAATATTTCTTTTAGAATGGAATAACAACATCACTCTTACATTAGCCAGTTAGCTGACAGCTCTATTTTAAATTGTATTGCCAACACACAATATGTTTTAGTAGAGAAAGGTCAACATTTAGAGGGAGGAACACTCTCTCTCTATCACCTTTCTCAGAAAAGAAGAAGAATATGTAACATAAAAATCAAAAATATAAACACAAAGCTTAGAATTTTTAAATAATACAGCTCCATCATAAATTTTAGTGAGCATAACCAGAGGTTTGCCTCATCAATTATTTTTGCACTCTTTCAGAATGACATTTCCTCAGCTATAATCACACACATTACCGTAGGTACCCATCAAAGAAATAAATGGTCTTGTTTCATAAATATTGTAACTAGAAACCTCAAAACACATAAATGCAAAGTTTATGCATGTCTTGTTTTCATTTGTATGTTACTTTTCATGAACAGGGATAACAAATATTGCATGAAACAAGGCCAGAATTTCTAGCAAATAATTCATTTTTACACTTCCGTTTTTCAGTCACTACAGTGATCAGGATTCCTTTCTAGCTTTCCCAGTCCAGATATCCTAAACTTCTTTCTGAGCCTCTGGCTTATGTCTTTATCCACTGTTTGTTTTTAATTTGGTTACATGTCTTTCAGTAACAGAATAAGTTGAACAAACAAATAATATCTATACTTTTAGGAAACTTATTTTACAAGGCCTTTTGGTCTTATTTTAGTTTCCCTTTTTTCTCATTTTCGACTGCTTAGTTTGGTCTCTTTGATACTGTTCACATGTATTATATTGGCCTGAATTTGTATGATTGCATGCCATTTTTTTAAAATGTATAATATTGTAACAATCTTTTTTTAAAATATGAAGATGGAAATAAATGAACAAATGAAATGAAATGAAATGAAATGGTCCATGTTACTAGACCATGGGTAAGGGCACAGAAGTGACATCAGATGAAATATACAACTTCAATCATATATATATATACCGTATATATTTTTCTTATCTTTTAGAGCTATTAAGCATTATGTTTACAAGTACAGTGTATGTAGCAATTTAACTTTGGGCTTTTGGAAGGGCTTCAAATGCCTTCATTATATATCATTCCTGTTGGAAGGAAAGGGCGCAGGAGAGAACGGAATGAAGACATAGACAATGAGAAGACTAAGGTCCTGTTCCTAGACCTCAACAGCCACGATCTCAATACGGTGAATGATGATGGTGGTCCACTGTGTCACGAGTCTAGTCCAAAGAGTTCTACAATAAGAGGACTAAGGTCCTGTTCCTGTACTTTGACAGCCATGATCTCAATAAGGTGAATGATAGTGGTGACCACTGTGTCACAAGTCTAGTCCAAAGAGTTCTACAATGAGAAGACTAAGGTCCTGTTCCTAGACCTCAGCAGCCATTATCTCAATGAGGTGAATGATGATGGTGGTCCACTGTGTCACGAGTCTAGTCCAAAGAGTTCTACAATAAGAGGACTAAGGTCCTGTTCCTGTACTTTGACAGCCATGATCTCGCTGAGGTGGAGGATGGACATGTCTCGTAACGTGGTAAGTTTGGTGATGAGTTTGGTGAAGAGGAAAGGTTTATCTGCATGGAAGACCTTGGTAGCTGCCTGGAGGGCTAGGATCATCTCTAGCTGCATCTCCTCCACCGTCTTTTTGTCCTTCAGGTCAGACCGATCTGGAAAGCAATAAAACAATATATATGTATGTTAGATTTGTTCATGTCTATACTACAGACGATGAATTGCTGTTTGGTCTACCACCATTTCGTCTACTACCCAATTAGTCTATTTCCATATGGTCTACACCCAGCCCGTCTACTGTGCATGTGGTCTAATAATCATTTTGCCTACTTATCATATGGTAATAACCGTTCGGCTAATAGCCATTTGGTCTAAGTTCTAATAGGTATACTTCCCATTTGGTCTACTGTTCATTTAGTCTAATAACCAGTTAATCAAATTCCCAGTTATAAGTGCCCATTTCATTGACTATCCATATGGTCCAATAATCATTTAATCACAAGCGATAGTAATCATCAACGATTATTAGTCCTTGTGGATAGTAGACGGAATGGGCATTAGATGCACTGGGAATTAGACAATCTGGAAATTAGACTAAATGAGCAATAGACCAAATGGACAGTAGATTTATTAGAGATCAGACGAAATGGAAATTAGACCAAATTACTATTAGCCCAAATGATTATTAGACCAGTGGATTAGTGGACAGTAGGCACCCTGTGTGTAGACCAGTTGGGTAGTAGACGAACTGGTTGTAAAAAAATGGCTATAAACCCTACAGACAACCCAGAGAATTGTGCACATTTTGCAAGTGGTTTTATACACAGATAATTCTTGCTTTGAAATAGTTGAATGACATCTGATACACCACTGAATTTTGCAATTCCTGAAATAGCAGACCATATAACTGGCTATTGTTACAAGTCATGAAAACTTATGAATGTACAATATGTGATCAAAATTACATCAATTTTGAATTTGAATTTGTAATATAGGGGTTGGTCATTCTATCAGTGCAATACAACAAGTGCATCAAATGAATACATACTGTGCAATATTTGAGCCTTTATCAATATGTCAAAAAAATGTTTCTAATTCTCAGAGAACATCTATCAAAATATTAGTAATATAACATGTTAACAACTAACATGGTTAAACACATATGCTTCAAATCATATGTGTTGCCTACATAAGGAAATGCAAATGTATGCCTTGTGCAGGAAATCAGCACCTGTTCTTGCCTTGAAAGGTTAATATTTGAAAACATCTGAAATCATATTTATGAATCAGAAACAAGTTCATTAATAAGAATAATAATGGTTGGGGGTTTTGGGAGTGGGGGGAGAAAATATATATGACTGGAACCTAAACAAATTTTATGTTTGAGTAGAATACTTGCTGTCCTTTTTACTATTGGTACCCAAGCCTTTGGCATTACTGATTTAACTTACCAGGTGAGAGTAAGGCAGCTGCAGTGAAGAGTGCATACTCTGCTGTGGTGAGTCCACAGGCCTTGGTGTCCCTCATGAACTCAAAGACCACCTCAGGCAGGGTAGAGAAGCCCAACTGATACATCATATGGACATCAAACTTGTCTCCATTGGTAACGTTGACCAAGCAATCTTTGTCCAACGCATAATTGTCTGCACACCTCAACAGCAGCGCGTCCACGATGCTGGATTTGATGAGCACGGCTTGGTCATCGCAAGAGAGGTTCGTAAATCCAGGAATGCTTTTGGCAAAGTGAATGGTTTGTTTGACCAGGACGGCAAACATGTCCATGGCTATGTGCAACATCTCCTTGTTGACCGTGCGCTTGGCTTTGGTGGAAGACTTCTTGCCCGCGCTCATCTTGCCGCTGGTCAGAAATGACGTGACCCTTTGGAGGGACTGGAGGAATGGACTTGTCTTGACTTCATCCTCGCCGACATCAGTTGGCATATAGAAATTGTTTGACGCAGGGGATGATGATGTCGGTGGGGATGAAAAAGACATCATTTGAGGTTCGTCCTCTCCTCTCAACAACGACACAGCTGCACGCTTTATCATCTCTACAATAGTTTCTTTGTTTTGACTCGATGATGCCATGGCAGCCAGCATGGCCAAGGCTTCTGCTAATCCACTGGATGCAAGTTTAGCAACAGCTGCATTGTTCATCATCTCATCATGCATTGAAGCTTGCTCTGCACTGTTCCCATTCTGATCCTGACTGGTAGCTGATGGTATCGATGTAGAAGCTGAAGGAGCGTTCATGGCAAGCTGTGCACCTATGCCACCTAATGCCGAAGCTGTGTTTTCATTTGAGCTATTCAATAGGGAGCCAGTAATGCTCCCTAGAATCGTGTCTGCAAGATTATCGTTGAGGGAGCCTCCTCCAATGCCAATGATCTGGCCCACAACTTTGGCCAGACTGATCAACGAGTTGAGATCCTGTCCCTGCACAAGGGATCCAATGGACTCAATCACCCTCAGACCTTGCTCTGATGATGCTAACACACCCAATGCTGAGGCAGGGTCTTTGATCTTCCCACCAGTAGCTAAGGAAGTCAAGTTATAAATCACTTCAATATTCTGACCAGTGGCTGAGGAGAGAACGGCCAAGGGATCATTGTTTGGCAATGCTGCAACTCCATTTCCACCATTCGCTGCAGCTTCTGGTTGCTGCTGTTGCTGAACAGAATTTCCATTAGTATTTGAGTCTTGTGCTTCCACTTTGGCTTTCTTTGGTTTTGATTGGTCCATATCGTCATCTTCTTCTTCCTCTTCTCCTTGTGAAATGAGGGGCGTGTCACTTTCTCCTCCTTTGAATTTGCTCCAATGGGTCATCCTGAACAACGGCACATCTTTCTGCAGAAATGACAGAATAAACAAGAGATCGATTTTGATGTTCCCTCAACTCTTAGAATAAAATTTCATAATATAAAAGAATCAAGGTATAAATTCAAATTTCTATAAATCAAAACCCTATTCCACTGGAAATTTATTACAAACACTATCCATTTATGCTCCATATAAACAAACATACACAATACAATTGATTATTCTTTAACTGAGAATATACATGTACCTTTCTTTTTCACTGTTACAATCACTTAACACTATTTTATGAATACCCATGAAGAACAAATAGTCCTTACTGATAGATGCTTGAGAACTTCTGTTGAGGCATTGTATCCTTTTTCCAATGTGTACATCAGTTGTTCCTGGGCCTGAGTAAGCCGAGTAAATGTTGAACCGTATGTAAGCAGCGTCTGTGTGGACGTTCCTGGAGTGTCCAAATCCATCATCAACATCTCACCATCACAGGACGCCATTTGAGAGGGGTCCGAAAAAAGAGCCATGTTTTGGGCTGTTGGATCTGAGGGAGGGATGGGGTTGGCACACAGGGTAGGAGGAGTGACTGTTACTGATGACCTGCTTGCTGTAGGACTACTGGACCGTGAGCTTGAAGGGGTGGAGCTCGGGGATGTTTCAGTTGCCATGGGTAGCTGCTGCTGGGGTGGGGTGGAAGATGCTGCTGGAGTGGGTGGAGCTGGTGCCGGTGCCGGAGTGGGAGGGGCGACAGTAGGAGAGGTGGCCGAATCTGCATGTATGCCTGGTACCTTCTTCTTTCGCTTTACTCTTATGAGCTGTTTTCGGGTTTTTAGGCGTCCTTTGCCCCACACTCCTGTCGCGTAAAAAGCAATGAAAAGATCAAATTAATGATATAGTATCTACAATATGCTCTATCTCACCATTAATCATGGAGATATAGTTATATTCTTTATATATCTATGGTAATAACATAAAACAAGATATCACAATTGATCACTGTACCCACATAGTCTTTAAATAATCTGACCTCAGTAAACTTTTGCAAAATTACCAAAATATTACAATGACACATCTATTTGCTGTCAGATGCACAAGGTTCAAGTTAAAAGTTAAAATTTGAAACATGAACAAAACAGAATAAACAGAAAGCATTTGGACTTGAGGAATAAAGATTTTGTCAGATTTTTACAAAAAACAAAAAAAATAATCTCCTAGTGTCCATCTCTTGTTCCAGGTAAAATGTTTGCCACTGTCCTGGCCCTCTTGCATACATGTAATAGTGTATCAAACAGGTGACTTACTTTCGACCTTCATGCCACACTCTAAGCATCGCTTCATCCTACAGGCAGGACAGTGACGCCTCGTGTACAAATCCATGTTACAGTTGCCTCCTGAAGCACAGGTGAAGGTGGCTCCGGATCTGTTGCTACGTAGGAAGAAGCTCTTGCAACCCTCACAGGACAATACATTGTAGTGTACACCGTTTGCCCTGTCACCGCAGATCATGCAAAGCCTGTCGTCACCCGAAGAGGCATTTGGGAGGACAGTGGTTGTTTTGTTGCTGCTCAGGATCATGTTGGCCTTGCTGTCTGCAGGGCTTGCGGCAGCTGTTGTCATGGTCTCGATGTTTGGTGTGGCAGAAAGATCCTGTGAAGTTGAGACCACTATTTCTCCAGCAGCAGCAGTAAGAGCAGCAGCAGAATTAGGTGTCTGCAACTGTTAACATATCACAGGTATAAATCATACAAAACGCATGTCAATTATACATTATCTTTGCCTAAAAAATGCAGAATAATATGATTATCTAAAATAATAATGCTGAGAAATGGAAATTCAAATGATACCGTTTTAAAAGACCAGTAAGATATGGTTTTAAGACAAGAAGCAGGAGATAATTCTTTGCTCGGCAGTCTAATTGTTGTTATGGACCCTTTACTTACCTTTATTTATAATTTCTAAACATCTACCGGTAATCATTTTCTAACTACCAATTTGTTTTTGAAAATGGGTCTTTCAACCTTTAACAGAATTTGCTATATTATGGAGAATAGCATAACTACATTCCTATCGGCTTGTATTCATTTCAATGAGATGATAAGCATACAGTATATCATTCAACATCACAATATTGATGACCACCAAGATCATGACCATCATCACCCATATCATCTCTATCATAATCACCACTGCATCATCGCTCTCATCATCCTCATCAAGATCAGCACCATGAATTCTACTCAGAGTGACAATCTGCATGATGATGACCACTCATATCATCCCTATCATAATCACCATCGTCATCATCATCCTCATCAAGATCAACCATGAATTCTACTCACAGTGACAATCTGCATGATCTGATTGTTGGTGTTGTTCTGGTTCATCTCAGAGGCTACGAGGGCAGCTGCCTCTGCTACATCAGACACTGTGAGTACCTGGACGTATGTCACAGTCTTATCAATAGGCATTCCCAGGGGGACCTCCATCTCGGCTGAAAACACCGTTCAATCCCTATTGCAGAAATGATTCAATGGGAAATATAATCTTGATGAAAACATCAATCACATAATGTGCACGCATCTCAATGAAAAACATTAAACAAGAACAGTCCTAGGAACTTAAATTTTCAAGAACTTTGATTTACCTACATACAATGTAAAATGCCCCCTTTTGTTGGCCTTTAGATCATAAACACATAATAATACCAAAATCTATAACTAAGGATCTTTATTTGCATGTTTTTATGACAGTGATGAATACGGTTAATCTCAAGTTAAAAATGTTTCAAATATCCCATTCACAAATTAATAATAATTGAGAAAAAAAATGTCCAATGCTTTAAGAAGTCAGAGTATCTACAAGCCTTTTCTTAACCGGGCGCCGGGCGATTTTTACCCAACGGTCCCTGACTTTTGGCGCCCGGTAAGACGGGCAAAATGAGTACCGGGCGCCGGCATTTTTTAAATCTTGGCGCCCAGTCTGGGATTACCACTTTCTGTTTCAGAAACTTCCACATGTCTAGCACTAAATGTTCACAAATGTGACAAAAACTTACTTGATGCGAGATAAACGTGGACTGAATGAACCCTAACAAATCATTTAATAATGAGAATCCTAATTAAAATCGCCCAGAAACAATTGCAGCATGAATACGAGCGGCCGCTATCTCCAACTTCTAGCGCCACCGCTATGGGGGAGATCGAGAGCGAACAACACTCTCACTCCGTCTAAAAGTTTGACTGTGCGAACGTGGTTAGCGGCTGGCTGTGAGAACGAGCGTACGCAGAGTTTGGCTATTGCTTTGTGTTGGCGATTCCTGCAGCGCGCACTCATGTACATTGCACACAATATGATGTACACCACTCAAAGACGAGCGATTTCCCCCAGGCCATGCATAGTCATGCAAAATCAGTGCACTGCACTACACACACAGTGTCAGTACAACAAAGTCCCGATGTCACTTCCAAAAATCCATCCCAAAAGCCAAATTTTGCTGTCAAAAATGCAGAATCGGAGCCATATTTTCAAAGCTCACGGGGGTTTAGCCCAGTTTTAAGAAACAGCTTCACCAAAAAAGCGCTGAAAATCAAGAAATCAGCGATTTTGTTGCCAGTTTTTTCGCCTATCGCATGCTCTTCAAAAAGCCAAATGAAAAAACAAACACCGGACCTGCTGATGCATTGACTTTATGTACAAAGCTGATTGCAACTCCAGACTTGCGCCCCAATTCAGCGGCCCTCGTACTCATTGACAAAAATTCTGCGATGTTTTAAATAATGGATTTTTCTGATAAAATAATTCATAGGTAAATATATTTTATATATATATATTATATATATATATATACATATATATTTTTAAAGTAACAGGTCGGCCGCTCTCAATGATTGAATGCGTTTTTATTCAAAGAAACATGATTACAATAGCATTTTATATGGAAAAAAACAAAAACGTAAAACAGGCAAAATCTGTTTTTTCACCTAAAATATACTTTTTCAAGCTGAATAATATGTTTTTTTTTAAAGTGACAGGTTGGCAGCTCTGCATTATCGTTATCGATGGTGTTTCTTAAATATTTTTTTTTATAAAATTTTTTTTAATTCCCCCTTCCTAACATTTTTCAATTTTTGACATTTAACGGCATGAAAATAGTTTTAAACATGAACTACAACAACTACAAATGACAGATTTATCCAAGGTATGAGTGATTTAATATATTAGAGTGCTCAAAATTTTAACTAGAAATGAAACTACCGTATGTATAAATAAAAGGTAACGGTTAATAAATAATTTTAAAGAATACATATTTTCATCAATTTTGGAAACGGCTCCTGGTCCTGGAAAACGGCTCCCGGTTCTCTAAAAAAAATTAAGGACCGGGAGCCGCTTTTTCAGATATTTGGCTCCCGGTCTGCTTTGACTTAAAAAAAAGGCTTGGTTATCTACCATCTGGATAAGAAGACACGTTCATGAAGTATTCAGTCATTGGCATCTAGCATCTAGATCTAAGCATTGAGGACCATTGGTCTTGTGGAGGAGGTTGCGGTCATATCCTCCTTTTACATCCCTTTTCTCCCTTCTTCCTTTATTTCTCTCAGGCATCTTTCTTTTTCTTTGTATTTTTTTCTCCCCTGCCCAGCGGCATTTATTTTGCCACTGTCTGTAGTTATAGATGAACTTACCTCACATTAATGACGACGGCTCCTCGAAAAAAGTATACAGAGCTGTTACAAGTAAGCTAGATTTATCACCTCACTGGCACTGTACGGGCATCAGGTTAAAGGTTGTGTACATAGATGAATCTGTGAAAGGTAGGTGTGTGGTCCCAACTGAAACTAATAAAAACAAACAAAAAAATAAATATAAAGAATTCAGAGCCTAATTTATGGTTGGTTCAAATAGAAGTAAACAATGAAAACATGATAAAACAGGTGACTTCATTTGATGCAATACTGTGTAATGTGTTATAATGCTGGAAAGCAGTTGGCTTAAAACTTCACACTGAACTTTTTGACTTTTTTTTCATATTGAAGAAATATTGGTTTAACATACATGTATGTATGTCTTGCATATATCCAAGTACTTGTATCATACACTTGTAATATCTTCCCTAAAACCTATAAATTGTACCAAATGTGAGCCTACAATTATCTTCCTGACCTAAAAGTAATAATTTTTTTCACAGTGAACTTTACAAGTACATTGTAAGATGTTTTGGCAAATGTACAACTATAGGATGTACATGTAGGCCTACATCAATACTGGCCAAGCATCAATTTTCTAACTTCTGGATGAAAAAAATTGCATGACAAACATGGACACACACACAACAGCTGTATCAAAAGAAGTACAGATTTTGCATGCAGAGGTACCATAATTTCACCTCCCCTTGATTCATAGTACTATCTACAGTGTAGGCCTGCATGTATCACAATGTCATTGCTAAAATACACATACCGGTACTGTAGTATAGCTGTAGGTAAGCACATTCTGGTAGGGTGCTAAATGAAGCATGTATTTACATTTTGTCTTAACATGTTTGTATATTGTGTCACATATTTTAATACTTTCAGGGCTAAAAGTAAAACCCTTGACATTTTCTTTCGTTTATTAATTTTGAGTGCTTAATCTCAATTACACTTTGATATCACCCTACATATGAATTACATGAAATTATTCTATGTAAACCTTCTCAAATCATGTTAGCCGAGTAAAACAAAATCATGTTAAAATGACAAGACAGTGACATTGTCAAGAGACAATTAACTCATGCAGACTATCTGCATAGCCTATAATATGCATGCAGGAACGTATTAAACAACATACTGTAACCTGCGGGTTTATGACAGAATATGAAGTCTTCTCCATGTACATGGCTATATTAATATTCTCATCCGCTACCCTGCCATATCAGCTGTCTGGCACATTACCTACTGGACAAACTATATTGCATTCAAAATCAAAACTGGCGCAAAGCCAGAGACAAAGTCTGGACCCTAAAGGGAGAGCACAGTACAATGGAAAGGGTGAGACATTTGCATACTTCAAAGTCATAGTCAGATAACCTATATTTTGTACTAATTGTTGTCGATGGGCAAATGTTCAAATTCGTCTTCAGATAAAACAGAATGACACCTTCAGTCATATCTATTTTGACTTTTCAAGGTCATTACACTGGCTACAGAGCTACCAAGTGTCACGCATTTGGAGGGTCTGAAAACGGCTCTCATGCACGGCGCGCGCGCTAGATTAAAAAAAAACGCCATACCTATACGTGTGTTATACCCTCGCACGCGCGCTTGCCCGCCGAAAAATGAAAATGTCACGCATTGCCGATCTTTTACCTTGGCGTCTCTGTGGCTAGGAAATATGTTCTCTAATTTTCATGATACAGCAATGTACTGTAGGGTCTATGTGTAGAATCTATACACAATGATTTTATATAGTACATGTACATGTCCTCCTTCAATTGCATGGTCATGTAAACTATGTATGCATGTACATGTATATCAACCTACAGTATGTAGTAATCTCCTCACTGAAAGTACATAGAAAATTGCAATTATTTTGTATTGCCAATTTCAAACTTTTTATTTACTTTTGTATGATAAAATAATGATTGACAAAAATGTCTTTAAATCCTGTCATTTAATTGTCATATAAATTATACTAGTAATCCAATAAATTGATTTTGTGAAATAAATCAACCATTATTTGTTTTAATGAACAGATAAAAAAAATTGTGATTTTTTTCTTCCTCTATGAAACTGTACAGAAACAAAAACTAATTCTATTTTGAAGATGATGGAGATTAATGCACTTACATTGTAAGTATTCAAGGAAATATGATGGACGCGAGAGAGGGAGAGGATCAGCTACACTGTAGTTACCGGTATCCAGAAACTATTGTCCTTTGTGCAATTTGGAAAATTAAGGAAAATTGACGAGCACTTGCAGAAAGTTGCAATCATGATATGAAATTTTAAATAAACACAAATAAAGGACTAAGCAGTTTCATTTTATGTGATTCAAATAATGTACATCTCCTTTGATGCACACAGTGTTACATATGATTATTTTCCAATTTCTTCACTTCATTAGCTCAGGTAATCAATCAACTCACAAACTTCATACATTTTTTAAATGTGTACACTGTGTGTACCACTACAAAGAAGCTATAAAATAACAAAAACACATGAAACCTATTTGACAAACTGTCTACAGGATACACACATACACAACAATAGCGAAAGGAATAATCACGTGCAGATGACTCTTTCCTTTCTATTTGGAACGATGACGGACGAAAAAAATGGTATTATCCAGGTTGACCTGTGGGGTCAAAGCTAACCATTGTGAGAGCTAACACTACCAGGAAGCCAGTAGACCGTAGGGGAACTGAACCACTGTCAGCATTCTCAAGAGATATATGAAAAATCTCCATTTTCACAGGAAAACACTCAAAATTTTAAGGAAGCCTCTACTCCAACATGTTTATATGCTGTAGGTAACATGCAAAGCCTGAAGACTGTATTCAAGAAGTTACTGTTACTGTAACTAAATTACGCTTATGGGTATATTCTTTACTAAGGCGATCAACTGCCAATTCCTTCATCGTTAATGAAAAATAAATGTGGAAGAGGTCTTAATGATTCACTTTACAACTCCCCAAAAACAAATTTCCAATAGATTTCAATTTTTTAAATAAAAGAGTTAAAAAGTCTACATTTAATTTAAGGAAATTATACATTTAGAACTTAGATAAACTTAAACTTCATATATATACTGCATTGTTTGTTTGAATTTCAAGTACAATTATATACATGTAACTTAATAAACCATACGTTGAAACTTGAAACTCAGACTTAAGTTGGTACATTGTACAGTTGACAGGTATTGCATTTGAATTACATGTAGTTATAAAGTGATCACAAATCCAACATTCATATGTACATGTATATTGTACACAATGAAAACAAAAATAAATGTAGGACCTACATGTTATGTATTAGAGATACATGTACAAACTATAGGCTTCAGCTTATCTACATTGAATGAGTCATGGTGGTGCCTTCAAATCTAGAACCACAAATATTGGCTACACTGATGGTGGAGCCTTCATACGGAAGGAAATGAGGAAAAAGAGTAGCCAGTAAGGTAAAAGGATATAAAAGGACATAATAGCAAGAGAAAATTATGCATGTGATTCTTCCTCTTAAAACACACATGTGACCAAAAACATTACCTGGTACTTCATACATAGTTGTGAGACACAAGCGAAGGCCACAACTGCTTTACTGTCAATATCTTACAGACCTTATTTTCAAGCCTAAATCTAAAACTTATAACCCATAAACCTAACAGTTATAAATTGTGACTACACGTATAACCTTAACTCTTTATCTATGACAAAATAAAGCCCGGAACCTGTACACAAGACAAGATAAAATGACGTAATTGTACCTGCTGCTATTTCACAATCTTTTCAAATATTTAAATCTAACAACGTAGATGTTGCTATACTTATTCATCATATCAGGGACTTTAAGATGTTTCTGATCACACTAACCCATGTGCAGTACAATGGACATTACACTTAACTTCAACTTGGGAGAAAATAAGGACCTAAATGTAATGTGAAGAAAGTATGCATATAGTATAAATGTTATAAACATTTATCTAAGAAATATTTTAAAACCATATTTCTCTATATGAAACTGGTTTATCTATTTAAAGGTTCTAACTTTGAGCTTGAGTGGCACATAAAAAGTAAATACTGGTACACAATAAAAAAATACACAATATGAAATGAAGCCTGTGGCAATGTTCACTGGACCAAAGGTCAAAGGCACTCATACATGACAAGATATGCTGATATTGCACAATCTTTTCAGTCATTTCGATTCATCTATCAGCTCAGATATAGCTAATTATTAATCATGTCGCAGATTTGTACAAGCCTCTGATCACACTGACCCATGTACTGGACAATGGAAATCTGGGAAATTAGGGAGAGGATAAGCAACTGGATAATGTGAAGAAACCATTCATAGGTTTGCATACCCGGTAGAAGGACTGGTATAAATTTTTACAAACATTTATTTAAAAAAAATAAATAATACTAATAATATATCTGTAAAGCGCTTAGGCACATCGTTGGATCGATGTATTGAGCGCTAGATATAAAAAAACAGAATATTATATTATTATTATTATTATTTATATCAATATTGGTTTATCTGATATTCTTTCTTTGAGCTTAACTGGCACATTAAAAGTACATACTGGGTTACTGGTACATAAGGCCTAGATGTACATGTACTTTGACTGCTTTTATGGTGATAATCTCTACATAATATTAAACATGTGTTAAAAGTAAGTGTTGTGAGGAACTGAAACCTACATGCCAAAGGGTACAAACCTTGAAAACACCAGAAAATTATGTCACTTTGTTATTGTTTCCTGCAACTTGGAAGGCTGAAATCTGTAGATGGGAAATCAAGAGAAAGGAAATTGTTCATAAACAGTTCATTCCTATATGCTTTCATGATTACTTCACTACTGTACATAAACGGTACACCATGTCATTACATAATTATAACATGTGCATGGATGCCAATTACATATTTTGCTAGAAGATATACAAAACAAATATACTTCTTGAAAAGAAGAAGTGATTTTTACAGGGAAAAATTATAATCTGATACAGATAAGCTCTAGATTTGTTGTCAATTATCAAGTTTCTATTCTCCTCTAAAGTGAAAATGACATTCCAAAATGTGGGTAAGCTCTGTACAATAATATAACATGTTTAGAAACACTCACACACAAAAAAGACAGCAAGGGATACTAATATGCTAAAGATGAAAGAAATAATATTATAAATATCAATCCTTGACAGTCTCCTCTAGCCGCATTAAAAAAAAAGCAAAAAGCTTCTATTTTTCCACTGCGGTTTAACTTTGGCTTGCTGCTCTGACAGGTATTAGTGACAGGACAACCACATGAGCCCAGCATGCAGATCATACAGATAGTCAACATGATTTCCTGAGAGAATCATAAATACCTCTAAAAGTTTCAATTTCAACGAGGAATATTCAACTGCACTTCACTCTCATCACTAAAACTTCAAGATTATTCTAACATCAGCACACATCAATCTTTACAGATTTCTCCAGAAGTCCCTGAATATGAAAACCATGAAGAGTTTGGCTTTTAAAGATAAACCAAAGTATGGAAGGTGAAAAGGCTAATGCAACACTGGGAAATATTGCGGAACACTTTGTCCGATAAATCAAGCATACACAGGCAACGTAAATACTCTCTTCAACAGTGTACATCTGTAGGTACATTTACATTCCTGGCAGCATTTCAAGGAGTCGTTCTCTTTTAAAATCTCAAAAGAACCCCCTTTTTTTATTTAGACATTGTAGATTCCATGTAAATGTACATAGCTGTGAAATAAAATGACCAGAGCATCTCTTTAGACTTCACTGTATGCTTTTTGTCTTTCTATTTCAAATGTCTTTTTGCACAGTTTTCAAAGGATCTAATATTTCCAAGCATACATCATATGTATATCTGCTGGCAACCTGTTGTTCTCACGTACTTGTACATGATGACGCATGGATGAAAATATGGATGCTCAAATCATAGACGGATCATGTGTCAAATGCCTTGTAATAGAACCAACAAAGTCTATACTTTTGGCACATGCTAACATCCATTAGTTCATAGCTCATGATGTTTGTCTAATATCAGCCTCTTTCCTTTCACTTTGACTTGGTGAGGCCCACTTTCCAGTAAATGTAAGTATTACACCATGTGGAGAAATGTTATGAATGGCATGTCTTTGGTAGTAGTGATACAGACAGGTGAAAGAGAGATCTACTACACAACTGAGAGACACTTGAAAATGGTGAGAAAGAAGTCATCCATCTCAATATCACAACCTGTGTACATCAACTCAGACCACAAGTATAGCAAATGCTAATAAATCATGATACATGCATGTATGCAACTATGCACATTACAAATAGCACCTTTCAATTATGAAAGAAAAATATAAGTATATCTGTCTTCCCGCTTAGGAAAATTAAATTGTGAAATTTTGATAAGTGCTTTAAGACTAGGTCACAGACTTTTGAGAACTTTTGTGAAAGTTTGTTAGATCTTTTCAAGGCTGTTTACACAACAGACCAAATTTATGACAACCTCAAACAAGCTCCTAACAAATCACAATCTCAGAACACTTTGTTGACTTCTTCAGACACATGTGAAAGACAAGTAAAGAAATAGACCACAAGGTAGCCTACTGTAAAATATATTCCATGTACATGTAGGTGCAGGCGAAATGCATTCCAAATTACTTTAAGCTCACCTCCAAAGATATAATAAATTGTGCACTTGATGCAAACCGTGTGAATTTTATTTGTATAATTTAACAAAGAGGACGTTTAGGATTTAATAATATTCTAAATAAGATTTTTTTCCAGTGAAGGATGTAAGCATGTCCTGTGCTCACACGACTAAAAAAGTATTAAGCCATGAAAAAATACACCAAGAAATTGTGCACATGTATCCTGTTCAGAGACAATGTAGTGTTCAGTTGTACTGAAAACTCACCAATGAAGAAAGATCTTTCCATGTACCAGTTTACCTGTAGTGGAGCGTATTAATTCAGGCCTGTGCTAAAACCTACACCTAAACTGACAAGCAGTAAAAAAGACATACACGTACGTGTATGTCATGTATACGTGACCTATTTTTAGAATTTTATTTTCCCTCCTACCCATCAGGCCATTTCAAAGAGCCTAAAGTCCACTTACAATCGACTTTATTCAAAGCCTTGATTTCAAGGCTGTTTACACAACAGACCAAATTTATGACAACCTCAAACAAGCTCCTAACAAATCACAATCTCAGAACACTTTGTTGACTTCTTCAGACACATGTGAAAGACAAGTAAAGAAATAGACCACAAGGTAGCCTACTGTAAAATATATTCCATGTACATGTAGGTGCAGGCGAAATGCATTCCAAATTACTTTAAGCTCACCTCCAAAGATATAATAAATTGTGCACTTGATGCAAACCGTGTGAATTTTATTTGTATAATTTAACAAAGAGGACGTTTAGGATTTAATAATATTCTAAATAAGATTTTTTTCCAGTGAAGGATGTAAGCATGTCCTGTGCTCACACGACTAAAAAAGTATTAAGCCATGAAAAAATACACCAAGAAATTGTGCACATGTATCCTGTTCAGAGACAATGTAGTGTTCAGTTGTACTGAAAACTCACCAATGAAGAAAGATCTTTCCATGTACCAGTTTACCTGTAGTGGAGCGTATTAATTCAGGCCTGTGCTAAAACCTACACCTAAACTGACAAGCAGTAAAAAAGACATACACGTACGTGTATGTCATGTATACGTGACCTATTTTTAGAATTTTATTTTCCCTCCTACCCATCAGGCCATTTCAAAGAGCCTAAAGTCCACTTACAATCGACTTTATTCAAAGCCTTGATTTTTATGGGTTACATATAAATAGGTTGCACCATCCTCATTATCCTATCTTAGTTAATGAAAAATCCAGAACGATGTCAGTAACCTGTCTTCCAGCAACCCTGGAGTACTTCAGACATGTCCAAAGGTCTATTTTGTCTAGTTCCAAGTTAGGTTCAAGATTCCAATCTAGATAGGCCTGTTTAGACTAAAGGGAATTTATATTAAACCTTGTATTTAAAAAAAATGTATAAAGAATTATTATTGTATAGTGAAAGGAGCTGACAGACTAGAAAAAAACATTGTGTAAAAGAAACTAATTTTAAAAAGGTCAATTGACACAACAGCTGGCCAATCAGCAGTCTACGCTCAAAATAATCCAGGGCCAGTAATACAATTTTCGTACAATACGACATGAAGACTACAGCAGCGAGAATCAATGCTCAAACATGCGCTTCGCTATATAATATTTTCTTATACAACATTTCTTTATACGATGTTCAGGCTAGAAGAACGATAATTATTCATCGGAAAGTAATACGAGAATCATATTCATGTACAGTATAGCTACAATGATGAATTCTTGTAGTCTGCAATTCTCTGCATGCAGGGTAAGTTTGTATTGGTACCTTTCTTTATCACATGTATTCTTGACTGGGGAATATCTCTAAAAATATAACATGGTAGATGATGGTACCATGATGTTCACATATTTCTACCTGCTTGTATGTGGAACGTGACCATTTAAAAGTGAATCACTAATCTCTGCTACACAATAACAATTATCTCTTAATTCATATTTGCACAAAGATAAGAATATATATTTGTAATGTTTAAAGTAGTACATAAGGCAATATTTCTAGTCCTAGTTCAAGGAGTATCTCATCCTTAAAGCCCCTCTAAAGTGTTGGGAGCCCCAAAAATTTGATGGCAAAATTTCACTTAAATTATATCATACAGGTAATGTGAAAGAGGATGTCATTTATTAAAGAAACATTTCTGCAAGGATTTTCAAAACAAATGTGCTTGAAGTCGAATATTGATGAAAGAATACAAAAATTTAGGTTTTCTGCGTACACCAACAGAAAATCCAAATGTATTCTATTATCAATATTTGTTTTCAAAAACATATATATATATATATATATTTTTTTTTTTTTTTTTTTTTTGGGGGGGGGGGGGGGATGAAATCTTTGCATTCTCTTTCACGTTATGGTACAATTTAATTGAAATTTCGCTATCAAATTTTTCGCAAATTTGGGGCTTCCAACACTTTAGAGGGGCTTTAACAGGTACAGAATACCAAACAATTTTCTTGCCAAGTCTGCATTTTGTTCTTGTTATCAGCTTATTTGTTTTATCCCACAAACATGACAATTACAAAAAAATTGTCTGTACCCATGAACTCAAAAGCACCTATAAACTGCACACGCCCTGCTGGCTACTTAGGTATGGCTTTGTCAAGGTTTTCATCATCTACTTGTATGTATGTACACAATGTGCCAGTCTGATAAAGACCCCATTAAATGATAATACAACTTTATATCAATAAAAAACTGAATGAACGAAGAATACAAATATAAAGGAATAACAAATATTTTACTTTTCAGTATTGCACAAGAGCAAATTAAAACCTCATTCTCTGCACCCCTCCAAATTATGGGTCAAAAGAGGTCCTGATCTGCTCGCCTATTGTGAATATGCGTACTCCACATATTGATGTCATCAAGTCGATGGCTAGTTTTTAGGACGACAACTTCTGATTTTCAAAGCTTTCTATTTTGAGTTTCCAGAGAGCTTGTTACTCCTCAGGCTCTGACAGACACTATAATATCATATAATTTATATTATTGTTATCTATGGCTTATAAGCTTTCTGTTGATATATAATTCATCTATTTAATCTTTCATTTCCAAAGGGTCTTCAAGAAAAATGACTGGTTAATATTTATGATCATTTATGGTATAGTACATTGG